GTCATGCGGCTACCCGCAGACTTTCTACCAGGTTTATAATAACTCTTTACAATATGTAGCACAAATGCTTGTATTTCAGCACAAATTGAGCACTAAATCTGTTGTAATACAAACCAGCACACTACTACACAACAAAAAATTTTTATTACAGACAAAAATTTTCTATTTCAAACGGGGCTGAGCGTCGAGTTGGCTCGCGCTAATAAATAATTTGAAGTAACACTTTTTGGATGTAGGACACTGCTAGCACAACAAAATTCAAGTATCACAGGTGCAACTTTTCAATTTTAGGCTAGGTTTAGCGTCGAGCTGGCCCCGTAAACTAAAAAAAAAAATTGGAATGTAGCACATTTTCTAATTTTAGTAGCACACACCAGCACACTACTAGCACAACGAAATTTGGTTACAACGGGTTCAATTTTTCTATTTTAGGCGGGGCTGAGCGTCGAGTTGGCCCCGCAAATAAAAAAACACTATTGGGATGTAGCACATTTTTTAATTTTAGTAGCACACACCAGCACACTACTAGCACAACAAAATTTAATTATCACGGGTTCAATTTTTCTATTTTAGGCGGGGCTGAGCGTCGAATTGGCCCCGCAAATAAAAAATAAAAAAAAAAAATAGTTGGGATGTAGCACATTTGCTAATTTTAGTAGTACACACCAGCACACTACTAGCACAACAAAATTTGCTTGTCACGGGTTCATTTTTTTTATTTTAGGCGGGGCTGAGCGTCGAGTTGGCCCCGCACACAAAAAATTTAAAAAAAAATAGTTGGGATGTAGCACATTTGCTAATTTTAGTAGCACACACCAGCACACTACTAGCACAACAAAATTTAATTATCACGGGTTCAATTTTTCTATTTTAGGCGGGGCTGAGCGTCGAGTTGGCCCCGCAAATAAAAAATTAAAAAAAAATAGTTGGGATGTAGCACATTTGCTAATTTTAGTAGTATACACCAGCACACTACTAGCACAGCAAAATTTGCTTGTCACGGGTTCAATTTTTTTATTTTAGGCGGGGCTGAGCGTCGAGTTGGCCCCGCACATAAAAAATTTAAAAAAAAATAGTTGGGATGTAGCACATTTGCTAATTTTAGTAGCACACACCAGCACACTACTAGCACAATCAACTAACATATATGTTTTTTTTATTTCTTAAACAGCGGGGCTAACTCGACTGACCTCACTTAAATAGCATCCAAAACAAGATTTCGTCAATTTTCCGTCCGATCGAGGGGTAAATCAAAGATTGTTTAGCCCTGTACCACCCACAGGGGCGGACTTAACATTTGCGGGTTTTGGACCGTAAGTCTTGAAGAATATTTTCATTCGGCATGTGTTTATCACTGGTAGCAACGTGTTCGCCACTTCCCGAAACCACCCTTGCGCAATATACAAACATGTAATTCATCTACACCTATACAGTATTTAACATACGGCTATCAAAATAGAGCATTTCTGTAAATATTCAGACCTTGTTTTCCGGTTTTAAAGTAATTTCAGGGGAATTGTCCTAGAACGCTGAAATTTGTCTCAATAAGTAGCCTATACTTCGGAAGTGTGTCCAACGGCCCCCAAATTTTCTTGTTTTGAAGGGCGAGGGAGAGCGCTCCATGAACTAAAAGAATTACTTTTTACTAACTGCAACTTTCTTGTCCGACTCTTTGTCAAGGTCATTGAGTAGGGGACGAGGGAATTAGAATTCGGAATTATCTTTGATGCTATTTTAATTAAAGTTCTCAAGAAAAAGAACAAATGAAAATTACTGCCCTTCTCCCTTTCGCCTTATCGAAATTGGTGGTTTGGGGGGAGAGGAACTACCAAAGCAGCTCTCGTCCTCGACTCCTTGTCGTGATGGGGCATAAATCCTCATATATCGAGAACTGAGTGTTGGATAATGATACGTTCAAAACGTCCTTGGAACGTCTGCAATATTTCCGAAAATTTTTCAAAGGGCGTGTTTCTTCTTGCATTATATGTCGTGGGTTTTGAATGTATGCCAGACTACTTTACAACCGAATACTAAGCTATTTTTGTTTAAACAAAAGCGAGAGTTGAGGGCAATTAATAATTGTTTCTTCCGTAATTGTAATAAACGATACTAAAAATAGTGCCCAGTCCATTTCCTTGGTTTTAAAAAAATTCGCTTTTCAAGATTCATTTTTAATGAGTGATAGATCGAAAGGATTTCAGCGCATTTTTGTGTTGCAGATCAGTAATTCATTAGTCATCAATAAGATCTTGTCGAAGACTACCACATTCGCTTTGTCGATACCCACTTCCGACGTCCCGTTCACCCGCAATTCGCGTTTGAAGGCTTCATTCCACCATTAGTAAGATTTTGTCGCGGGCTGCAACATTCCCTTTCGCATTTTGGTGGAGATAGAAAAAAACTGAAAAATCCCCTCATTCATAAACCACGCTCGGGGTGGCGCCCGGACGTCGCCGATCTCACATCATGTAACCCAGTTCCTAAAGTTGTTAATTACCTACACGTCCCCGGTAGGTACGCTTACACTCCTGGTCTGTCTACAAGCGTTCTTCTACGGGCTCTCATTTGCTGCTAGCCAGCCATCGGGCCGGCCAATTGAGATTATAAGCTAACTTTTTACACATAAATTTGCAAAATGCGCTAAAAAGACACGACTTAATTGAAACCTTCGTGTGTCAAGCAACTTTCAAGTCAAATTTTTGCGTAAATGTTTTGGACGCAAGGAGTGTTTTGGCACTAATCATCAAATACCTGATTGCTCATTTTTAGCGCATTTTTTAAGAATTAAAAAAATGTGCTATTGTTTGCGTTTTGTCCGTCCTCCGTCCGTCCTTCTACCGTTTTGAAGTACTTCTAGGGGAATGGTCCTAGAGTGCTGGAATTTTTTGCAGTAGGTAGCCTATACCTTGAAGGTGTGCCAGACGGCCATCAAATTTCGCTGTCTAAAAGGGGGGTCCCCCACGAATTATTTCCTGAGATGCTGACCAATTGGTCTCAGATTTTGCTTACGCATGCCTTTAGTGGTGCCAAGTTAAACTTTAGAAAATGGGGGGGGGGGGGGTAAACACATGTTCTACCCTTCATCATGGTATTCTAATGAAAGGTCTCATTGAAATAAATGGGTTTGTACAAACTATAACTTTCCCGTGCGACTTTTTCGAGATCAGTGAGCGAGGGGGGGGGGGGAAATATGATCCATTGATGATGTCAAAACAAAAGCTATTTCGGTTAAAAAATGCGCTTTATCTGCACAGGAGTTGAGCACATTTATACTTGTTTTACACGATGCAGGGAAGACCGCCCTTACTACCTCATACAAATATTTACAATATTTTATAGTTTTGAATAGGAAAGCTGATAGTTCAGGTAATTTTAGAGCATTTTTTAAAAATTGAGATGCGTTATTACTATTGTTTAATTCTTACGCCATTTGTCTGTGTGATGGATCTCAGTACAGGAATTTCCTAAAAGAGCTCATTGACGTCCCGCAAAAAAACAATGTTTGCAAACAACTTGAGAGTGATGTTCAAGTTTAGGACAAAACCTACCATCAACTTTACAAATGTTGTACGGGAATAAACGTAAATTGTGTATTCTTCCCGTATAGCTCTCCTTTTAGTGAATTCTTTATTGATCAATTATGTAAGGACAATCGCAAAACCATTGCAAAATTTGAGTGTACGCATGCTGAAAGGGACGTTGCAGACCTGTTTCCTTCATTTTCGGTTTTGAAATGGGAAAAAACCAAATAGAAACTGTGTAAGTCATGCTCGCCCATAGCTTTCTTGAATATCAATTTCAACTCCGTGGGCAACACTTACGCAGCATATCAAAAATGTTGACTTCTATGATTGATTACACTTAAAGGGCACTTTAATAACCCCAACATAATAATATATCCCTTGAACGTTTTAAAATGATCAATTTTCCCATAAAGATGTATTACTCTTCAACTCGGTACTGCGAGGGGTCGCCCTTGCGACGCATCAGAGTTTCTGTTCTGGGGGTAATTTTTCGAAGGAAGAAAAATCCCCTCATATGAAGGTTTTGTCCGTCCGTCTGTCCGTCTATTCCTCGCCGAACTCGAGAACGAAAGGAGACAACGGTATCAAACCTTCACCAATCGATTTCTACAGGTTCACGAATTATGGTTATTGAATCTGAGCCGGATTAAAAGTTTGGTTTCCGAATGCGAGCTGAGGGACAAAAAAATCCTATGCGATTCTTCGTATCTTGTTTGATTGCTTAGTAATACTTAAAGAGATTCTAATTGTCAGGCGGTGATAAAATTATGGATTTTGTTATTTAAATTTTGTTTCAATACGACGAGTCAGATTAAATCCATGCTAATATTCTGCTCAGAATTTTTTGCTACAAAACATCGACTTTCAATACGTCCGAGAGATCAATCGAGATTTGCTTGACTCTTTACCGCTATGCAGGAGTGGATTTAATATGTGCAGGGACCAACTAATCTTTGCAATATCTTTCCTTTACACATAGGTAAAGGATACGATGCATTTCCAAAATTAGTTTCTAGTTAAGGGTAAACTTTTTGTACTCGATCCAAGGGCCCCCGGCTCACAACTCCTGAGACCTCCCTTGCCTCACAGTACAAATTTTCATTCGTTTACAGTTTTTAAATAAAAAGTTGACCACTCCACTAATTTGGAAATTCAAAATCCACTATTACTAGCCTTTTGTTACTGCGTCTATCCGTCGTTCCATTCGTCCGTGTGAGGCCACGGCAAATTCTTATAACAGCTCGTTGAGGGCTCATTTGACCAGGTACAGGTCGCTAACAGTGTTTCCAAACTACTTATTTTTTAACTTAGGTAATGCAATACCTCCCTTACTAACGTGCGAGTGGGAAAACCAATTAAAAAGGGTGTAGCGCATTCACAGCCATACCTTTTATTTATAGTGCCATTTATTGAACTTTTGATATTAGACTCCCAGTGCGCCATTCCCTTTGTAATATATGGTATTTTACTTTTCAGGTTTTGGTAATGGAAGTGCAGTGAACTAGTGCGGTTGTGTTGTGTCGTCACCCTGGTGGTTGATGGTCCTTCCTAGGCAAGACCGACTTAATAAGGCTAAAGGGTATGTTTCCTTGTTAATTAGTGATAATGAGTTATGCACGTTGCAGAAAATAAATTTATCATTTTTCGCTAACAGAAAAACTTTTTGTTACAGATTCCAGAAGGGCAGCCTTATAAAGGTAGGATTTTTCTTTTTTGCATGTTGGTGTAGGGTTTACTGCATTTTTATTTTGTGTATTTAGTAGTGGGGGAAGTGAATAGTGCATATAGTGACTGACAGGTAAGTTCACTAGGTACTCTTTTTAGCCGACCTTCGTATGATAGTACTAAGTGAGTTGTGGCCATCTTCTCAGACTATCATCTTATTGACGTTAGATTTTCTGCAAGCATTCTTCGAATAGACTTTTTCGCGGCATAAATCAGTTTACTCCACAGAAATCAATATGACTATGATTTCATAGCCATAGCCATCTGTGAGGCAAATAGATTTTATGTGCGAATCAGATTATGAAAAATATTGCAGCCAATTCATCCGTTTCCAAGTTTAATCATTTATGGATTGCTATACCTCACTCAGGATTACGCGAAGATCGGCTTAGAGCTTAAAGACGGTAAGTACACATGAATCGCCGTAAGCGTGTTCGTTCATCTATCATTACTATAAATTAGTTAATCTAAAATAATTGTTTCCGCTGAGATTTTTGTTTAATGAATGAACACGCCGATAAGTGGCCTTAAAGAGCATAGTCGTTTCAATAATTCTACTAACTAATTTTTTCCGATTGCTTATAGTGCCCATGGTAGAGTCACCCGCCACGTGTCCTGCGTCTACTGATGAAACTCCAACTCCTGTGATGGATTCCATCGCATTCCATGGCCATCAACGATCCGATGGAGAAGTACACGGGTACCGCTTATGTGAGCAAGGTGAGTGCGACCAAATTTCCATTGAAAATGTACTATTACCACTTCTTCCTTATCCCAGTACCTAGTGCATCCTCTCATAACCTCATTAGAAATTTTCCAGTAACTGAAAATCCACTCAATATTTAAAAACGAATTGCGTCCCTGTGTAATCTATAAATTCTTACCTTACAGTCATGGGTAATGGAGATAAGGATCGACTTCTGTCTGTCGTACGGATGTGCACTGTCGTAGTTATGGTTCCTTCCAATTAGGCGAGACCGAAATTAATAAGGCTAAATTGTGAGTTCTTCTTTTTTAATTAAGGCACATGTACTCATAACTATAAAGATCACCTTCATAATAAAACCTCTTAATAGTCCTCTCCAAACCTACATGGAGAATTTGCCAAAAAACCATTTTTGGTACATTAATTTTCTCAATTCAGTAATTTTGATCTTAATTTTTCTTTATTAGCGCACTGTAGTATATAGCGACAGTGTTTTTAACGTAAAAATATTTTTTGTTCCAGATTCCAGAAGGGCAGCCTTATAAAGGTAGGATTTTTCCTTTTCTATGCATGGGCTATTCCTTTTTTTGTGTATTTAGCAGTGAGGGGGGAAGTGCATATAGTGATTATAACAACAACCGGCGACTAATTTAACTGACCTTCGTTTCATAATAGGTACTATGTGATATGTGACTTTCTTCTCAGTCTACCAACTTGATGACGTAAGGTTAACTGCAATTACTCCTAAATGGTTTGTTTCGCAGCGTCAATCAACATACTTCATGTTAATCAGAATGACTATGAATTCATGTTCATGCTGCTACCATATAGTAACTCGATTTTCGTTGCGAATCAACCTATGAAGAGGGTTATTGGAGTCATTTTTTCCGTTACCAAGCTGAATGACTTCGAAGTTTGTTACACCTCATTTACTATTACACGAAGATCGGTGTGTTTGGTTTTATAGGTAGGTAACCAATTGATTGATTACATCGCTTGCTTCCTCACTAATCTCATTTTTTACTGTTCACAGAGCCAATATCAGGCAGCATCTGCTGTGGTCCGGCTTCCAACCCATGGTGAACGATTAGATGAGATCCAACCAACCGCCGCCGATCTTGTTGATCAATGAGCACTGTTCAAATAAAAAAAAGGTGAGCAGTATTCCTTAAGTATTTAACCTTCTTAGCGTAGCTATCACTATAATCGTCGATGTATCACAGTCAAATTTTACAACCATCAAATATTTTAGATTAACTGTAATCAGATTTACTTATATTTATACTTTGTTCCAGATTCCAGAAGAGCAGCGTTATCAAGGTAGGATCTTTACCTTTTGCATGCGTTCTTGGTCTATTGTATTTTTGTTTTGTAAACTGAACAGTAGGGACAAACAATAGAGAATATCGCGACTAAAACGAGCAGATTAAGTTTGGCTGACATTTTGTCAACCTATCATCTTGGTGATGTAAAATTAACTGCAATGATTTTTCTAACGGCCATTCTAGCGGCATCAATCTCAATCAGTATCGCTATAAATCTATAAACATGACAGTTTTAAAGAATTAAACGGATTGTTGCTGCGATTGAGGCTATGGAAAATTATCATAATTGGGTAACGCAAATAGTAATTGACTGATCTTAGTCGATTAATGAATTTAGTTACTCCACCCTTCTTAAATGATAGAAATATTATATCAGCTTGATCTTGAATTTAAAAGCGACTTTATCTAGACTTTGAATATATTATTTACCTACATTCATTTACTTGAGCGGCTCCATATACCTTCAGTCAAAGAATATTCTCTTTGCTTCGGTTCTAATGCGCCTTGATCGCGTCGATAAAATCGGGATAGTGATGTAGTGCGGTGGTATCGAAAATTGCAAAGTATTTCCTTTCATAATAAATACTGTACTAGATGGCACATAGCAATCCTCCAAGTTGTGCAGTAGTATGTATTTTGCGGTCCCAGCTGAAACTTAGGGAGTATATAGTTCTTGCCAGAGGGAGAAATATCCAAACCGTCTTGAAAATCACTTTGCTCCATACCAAACAGTAGGTATAGCTGTGGGTTGATGGTTATACTACTTCGTATAAAGTATAAACTTTTGATGCGGCAGGGATTGTGCGATCATCTGATAAGAGCTTTGTTCTGAGGTTTCATCTGCCATCCAGCTTAAAGTAAATTTTACATTCAAAACTTAGAGGAATGTTATGAACCTCTTGTACTTTCAAACGGTAAGTGAGTCTTCGGGGGTTCAGTGGGGCCACTTGAGCCACCTGAGGCTGGCCAACGCCATCTTACAAAAATTGAAAATCTATGAATGAAATAAAAATGTAAACTCTACCTTAATATTATTATATAGATACTCGCTTAAATTCATTTGAAAACTATCTTTGCTGGAAGCTTACCCATTTTTTGATTATCTCTATGTCACAAAACTCCACTAGCAACACCACAAGTTCTAAACTCTTTTCAAGGGATGCGAGGTAACCTTCAAGTCTTTTATGATTACGAGTCCCACAGATCACTTTGCGGCCCATTAAACAGACCATCACGGTCTTGAGCTGACTATATTAGTTCCCTATCCTCTTGTCCTTTGCTTTGTCCTTCCAACTATTTATCTTCCTTTCTTTTATTATATCTTCTTCGGATATTAAGTCTGCCCTTCTTCTTTCTTTGAATTGGTTGTTCCCATGCAAATATTTTAGTCTTACTGTCGGGCATTCTGCGTACTAAATAAGTAACACGTGAATTTGGGAATGTGCTGTTGCACCTTATCGTTTATTACTCTCCAGATAGGTAAATAAAATCTGATAGGTAGGTACTTCTTCTCAAACTTCCTTTTCCCCCTTTGTGACTCCTATAATTCTACTTATTATTCCTATCCTTTATTAATCATAGGAGGATTGTTTCTTGATTTGCGCGACGTCTTCGGCATATTATGCTACGACCTATAAACTTTTTCGTATCGTTTGCGTTATTTAATATTTTATTTTAGCATATTACTTATTCAAGGTACCTCTATTGCGATTTTGCCTCCGGCGCAGTAGTAATAACGTAGGCAATTTATGATTCAGTTATTAACAATTTAGTTTTTATTTTCTTTATTCAATTATTTGCATATATTTTAATAGTTTAAGTTTAGGTAGTTAAGGTACCGTTAGTTCGTTAGTTCAGTTTCCTTTTAAGCTATTCGAGGCTATTACGGTAATTCCTGGATTTCTCTCAAACTTTATAGTTATACGATCCTAATCCTTGCGTATGGGGATAACCCTAACCTTAGAGGTATTTACTCTACTCGCCATTCCCCACACTAGACACTACGTGCATCCTTGCCAAGTACCTACCTATACTGAACTAACTAATTCCTATACTTGACCTATCCCGAAAGTGGACTGCTTGACCAAAACAAGCAGGGGTGGAGGTGGGCCACTTCCTTCCTTTACTTATCAATGCATAACTAATTTTGTTTTTCTCCAAATGGATAAAAATGTCATCTATGTTCCTTTCATTAATGCAGTCTCACAATTATAACCATTTCTAAATCCCGATTGCAGCTCATGTAGAAGATTAAATTTTGAAAGATGATTAGGTACGGTACACAAACCTTTTTCTAATTTTTTTGAAATGTAACAGTTATATAGGTACTAATTGCTCTTAAATCATTTATCGTTTTCACATCCATCCAATTCCTAGACTACTCAACTCTTTGTAAATATTGGTATTTTTTGTTGTTAGTACGAATGTTAAATTCTCTGTAGGCTTTTTTTTCTTGTGTAACCGCTTTATTCACAACTTTCCTCAAAACCTTGGAAGTAATGAAAATGATTTGGGTACATTGTATTACGATATTTTGCAGCAGCTTTTTCTCTTTCCTTCATCATGCATTTAAGATTATACGTTAGCCATGGCGCTGCCTTCCTTCTAAGTATCGCGTTTATTAATGAAGCATGCGGTCAAAAACAGCAGTTAATATATTATTGAGACAATGTCAATTTTGACATCAAAAGTTGATTTTTGAAATGGAATAGTATTTTTTTTAATCAATTTTCTAAATATTTTTATTATGCGTAGAATTTGAAATTTTAGAAATACTTTTCCATTTGAAAAAATAAACTTTGGTATCAAAATCTACTTTTTGAGCTTAAATATCGAATTTGAATAAAACGTATAACAAAAGGCATACGTATGCAAAATGTGAGACCAATTGGTTGTGGTATATACAAGTTAAACACGTTTTACTTTCAAAAACAGCATCTCGGGAAGTAATTCAGGGAGACTATTCCCCTAAAAGTAATTCAACACGGCAAAAGTGGGTCCTGGGAGGAGTGTGTGTACATGGTACATTATATGAAATTTCATTTACTTGTTCTGTCGCAGTCGATGTTGACAGTAGAGCGACAACGCTGACATTTTCTAGAATTTCTAGAGCATGTGGAAAGATCCATGTGTTTTTTGGGCACTTTTAAAATATGCTTTGGCTACCTCTTACCTAATTTTATGATTCTATTCAGTTCAGCCATCTAAAATTGTCAGCTCTGAATTCAGACAGGTTTATACGCATCAATAAAACATATGTAATAAAGGCATTTTATTAAAATATAAGTACAAAATTCCAGATAATACAATCATCCTAGAGCAACAAAACAATCAAATCACATAACACAAAATTGTAAAAAATAATGAACACCACCTTTAAATAAATACAATTGAATTTAAACCTTATGCATAAAAAGTACAACTCAGTCCAAATTAATACAATAAATGCAGCTAGGCTAACGCCAAAATGTAACAGATCATTAGTATAAATGTTTGGCCTTGTAAAGCTCGATCACATATCATTTTTAAGTTTCGTTCGTTGACTGCATAAATATGGCAAGTAAAAACCAAACCGAGATCCTTTTGCACTTTAGTAAGTAGCAATGCGAGACATGCAGATAGTAATATCTGATCTGTATGCATTTTTGCAACTTTTCCCCATTTATTTAGGTAGGCACATTAATTAATTCTATATTTGACAGTCATATCGTATTAGTTAAATTTCTGAAAAGTCCTATTTCGATTCAATTGCAACTGCTGGTTAAATTAAGTTTTTATAATTATTTCAATGGCACCTGCTCATAAACAGTCAAAATGCTAAACATGGGCTAGATTCTTTACCAAATTTAGACATCAGTCACGAACAATAGCATAATCCTAACCACAAGGGCTGCGCGATAATAGAAATTCACTATCAATAATACAAAATTATTGATATTATCGATATTGTCAATCATTATGAAAATGGCCACCTGTTGCAAAAAAGTAAATTCTTTTAAAAAGAGATCGCAATAGAAAACTATCTTTATTCCCACAACGAAACTCGTTCACTTTTTAAAATGAGATTTACAGAATGATATTCTCATTGGTTTCAGAATAAAAATTACTTAGTTCGTTGTGACACCCTGTATAGTGTATAATAAAAATGAACCCATAGATTTGAAAACTAATCAACTTTTACTAACGTTTCATGATTGTTACCTTTTCCTGCATAATGTCATTTAATAAATATCCTAGGCGACTTGGCCAATTATTTTACGACTAGATGTACAAATTCTTTGGAAAGACTTTCCTATTCCTCCGAGGGTTCTGTTCCGAAGTACCGATCGCCGAAGTTTCCTATGCCCGGCATAACGTAAAACTTGTCGTTAACTTCGGGATCAATGGCGGATGTTACTATCTGGACCTTTGGGAAGGCGTAGGCAATCGAGTGCACCCCTGATTCGGCCATTAACAAAGACACTATTAGAATATTACTTTCGAGTACGTCGTGGTCCAGCAGCACACGTATGGCCATCATGGCCGCCGCACCTGTCGCAACAGTCGCGTCCATTAGAATGACCTTGTAATCCTTGATGTCTTTTGGCAAACGTAAGTAAAAGAGCTGCAAATCGAGAAAAGTTATAAGAAAACATGGGATGTGGGATTACCTCTGGTTCGCCAGTGCTAAAATTCGTTTGTATTAAAATTTTTCCTATTCGTATATCTTTGTAAACATCACAGACTGCTTGTTCCATAGTTTCGCCGGCGCGTAGAATAGACACGCCGCAAATTTTATTTGTCGCCATTCGTTTACCTGAAACACTCGCGCGTTAACGCCACATGTTCGAGAGTGTGTAATTACCATTATAACAAACGCCCTGTGGGGTTTCCACAACTTTCTCGACGAACGCCATCAATGATAACGTATATTCGATGACGAGCCTTATCAGACGTTTACTGTAAAAGATGAACTCATCTCTCGGCGTATCCTTGTTACGTATAAACGTGTGCAGGCCGCGAATTTGAGGTGTTGTGGGTAATAAATGGACGGTATCCGGGAGTGGCTGTCCTACATATGAATGGGCTAATTCTTCTCGCAACTTAAAGCCCCTCTGTAAAGGAATCCGAATAATAATTTCCTTTTTAAAGCTACATAGGAAATAACTCATAGTTATGGTTTTCGTTTAAAATTCTTAAGAAATGGTTTATGAATACCAACACACGCGTTGCCATTTTGTTCTACCATATGTACCAAATTGTTTAGACAATTCCTCATAAGATTCCAAGTGGCATATATAATATACAGGATGACCGAAGGGAACATGAAGTTTTTGGGATGCCCAGTACTCTCCTCCTAGGAAGAGTAGTGAACCGATTTTCCAAGCATTAATCTCATCATGCGATGCCGTTTCAGTAGCGATGGGCGGTGGACGATTGAGCATTGCATTTTTGCATAATTGCAAGTCTGTTATTACCGAGCAGCGGTTTTTTGTGTGCGATTCAATGGTGGAGATACATTTAGTTGGATCTGGTGGTTTCATTTTCAAAATAGAATCCAGTCTGTAGATTATGAACTCAACTTATCCTCGGCGCCCACGATTGAATCGTATTCAAAAAAGTTACTGTACGGTACTCGTCCATCGCTACTGAAACGACATCGTATGGCGAGATTAATGCTTGAAAATTCGGCTCACTATTACTCCTAGGAGCAGAGTACTGGGCGTTCCAAAAACGTCAGGTTCCCGTCGGTCACCCTGTATAATAAAATATAATAAACCCCTATTAAATTTCTCTTGTAATTTTTACTATCCCATATATATAATAATATACCACTTATCAATGAAGCACTTGCCACCATCTTATAAATACAAACTTTTCTGAAAATCAAATGTTTTTTTAAATAAATATTTATTTCTCAATTTTGGCTTAACCCACCTAGCAAACTTAGTTTCGTTTAAGAGAGATTTATTTGGCCTACCAACAGTCTATTTGCTTTTATACTTGGTAATTTTACGGGTCATCACTAGAGGGCGTTAACTGAAATTTAACTATATACTTCGTTGGAAAATGCACTAAAAATGTAATTATTACAAAAAATGAATTTTTAATTAGTTTTAATTGGCATGTGCTTAATCACCGGCGCCATTTTGGACACCCAAATATTGGTCTACAAACGAGCTGTTGATTACAAAGGCATTTAGAGAGGGTAAACATGTGTGCGCTGTGTAACAACATCTTTACGTGATATATAGGCCCCTTAATTAGGAATATTTCTCCTGAAACAGTTGAAAATGTACATCAGGAATTTATTGATTGGTACAGTACCCCGCAAAGCTGTTAAATGGCGGACATCATTATTCTTAATTGTTGTAATTTTTAAACTTAAATTCAGAGCACGACTGGGTCCATGCACAAAGAAAAACACTGACGTTGATTCTAAACACTTATAATTTAAACAAAATTGCTGCAATCAAAATTCCGTAAATTCCAACGGAAACGCTACATACTGAAACAGATCAGAAATCCCATTCGGGTACCACAAACTTAAAAATCTGATACAGTAATTGAATGGAATTGCACCTGGATCTTAAGTTTGACTTCAAATTGACACATACTTCAATGACAAACTGAGATTACAAACATTTATTTTCAAACAAAAGAAACACAAGTGCAAAACCCTGTCATAAAAATTCTATATTTCCATATCTCCACTCCATTAATCCGCATCGACGAAATTATTATCTGTTGCATAAATTTTTTTACTTTTTTCACTTCTAGTTTACATATTTTGAGTGTTATCACGTGTCAAAATAGTCTTTATGGACCCAAATATTGTCTCAAAACTGCAAAGTGAAAAGTTGCATAGTAACTTTATGAAATATGGGCCCCTGGCCAATTAATTTGTCCGATAATGGCTTATACACACACATTGAAACATGTCCAGAATTTGCTGGAGAATCCGAAACTGTAATAATATACCTATTTAAGGAAAAAAAATTCTGACACTTTTTTGGGCCACCTTATATTTTGAATCCAAAAACCTCGCCAAAAATACAAACACGCCTATTTCATTTTTATTGAATTTATCTGTTAATTAAATCACAACCAAGAGCCTGTATGTTTATTGATAGCATGGACTGTATTAGACAAACATTATTTTCTCTTAAAGAATCTAACATACATACCAATTGGAGCTGGGCATGAACATGCTGAACAATTAAGTGAATAGCAACTTCATTTTCACCTCCCCTCGGCACAATAATATCGGCATGTACCATTAAAGGCGCGATATAATGATTGAAAGCGGGTTGTACCATCTTAGTATACTGTTTGATAACCCCGTCGAGATCTCGTCCCCTCTCCGAAATGTCACGCTTAAGCCTTCTAGCCAGCCGAATATCCGCATCGGTATCGACAAAGACTTTCATATCCAGCATATTCAAAAGCTTGGGATTATAAAATGCGAGAATACCTTCAAATATAATTACATTAGCACCGTACATTGTCTTCTGCAATATAAGTACATTATTAAAACAGAATGCTAAGTACTTCAATTTACGGTTTGCGTGTCTCTAGCGTGCGTAACAAAATTGTAAATCGGCACCTCGACCTTGCGGCCCTCCTTTAGCCGCTGCAAGGTCTCGATTAGGATGTCAAAGTCGAACGCGTCCGGATGATCGAAGTTATACTCGTTGTTGTGAGCGAGCTGGTGCTGTTTTTCGTTGAGCACCTTGTAAAACGAGTCCATGCTGAGCAGGGTGACCCACGGCATATCTAAGTCTGCAATTATTTTCGCGGCTACTGACGTTTTGCCCGAGGCACTTCCACCACAAATCCCTAAAAGAGAGGATCAATCTTGAGTGAGCTTAAATCTACAGTAATCACCTATTATGAAAGGTTCAACTTGTTGACCTGCTAGGTTATACCAGGGGGGCCGTCCAGCCGTATAAATTGTGCGGTGCTGTGTTCTAAGTACAGATTCTGTGGCAGTCTTCTTAGCCGCGGATTTATTGATTGAAGTCGTACGTTGCCGGCGTGCTTTTGGAGATTTTTGTGAACCTATAGCCGGGAAAGCCATCATTAGTTAACAGAGTTATCAATAAAAAACATACTTAATTACGGAATGGGTCTAATCTGTGTGTAAATAAACAAACATTGATAGTGCTATCTTACCTGCAGATGGAGGTCTAGGACAGTATGGAACAGTGATCGGCGAAGCCGGAGTGGTGTAGTAATCACCGCTACGTTCTTCATCGAGTTCACCATCTGGGAACACCTCCGAAACATCCGCTTGAGTCTCTGCACAATCGCTACATGTAAAAAACCAAAAATCATTAAAACCACGTGCTAAAATCTAAAAATAGGTTTTTGTTAATTTAACAAGCATGATTTGTGTTTTTGAGCCGCCCTAAATGAAGATCGAATTATTTCGTAAATTTATGACCGAAATTTCGTTAGAATTTTAAAATTTAAGAGATAAAGATGTAAACAAATCCAGGGCATGAGCATGTGCTTTTTATTGCCTATATAAAGTTTTGATCGTAAATTCAAGAGAAAGCAGAAGGGTGATTTTGCATTCTGAATTTATTGGAATTTGGTTTATTTACAGTAAAAAAACGTTACCTGTCCGAGCTTGCAGATGAAGGAGGCTCAAAAGTTGTAATTTTTGCTGCCATTTTCCCCACTTTTCATTTTTGAAGAAATATTTAATTTATTACCGCCATTGCGCACGCGCTAAATTTGCTTTAAGCGCGCAAATTGATTTATACCCAGTGCTTCGCAATTTTGGTCACAAATTTTTATTAGTACACTCTAGAAATTTCGCATTGTGGATGGTTATATCATTGTCTTTTGCATCGCAAACCCGCGTCGTTGCGCCCTCTCACGGACGTGCACAGGAAGGAATCGACAAATGCCTTCAGCTCTCCGTTGCTTGAGCGAATTTCATTCAAACAAGAGTGTTGTTTTCAAGTTCAAGTTGGAATGTTTTCTATTGTGACTATGATCACTACCTGGCTAGTTTACAGTTTGTAGTACGTAAAAACCACCTTATAAAGGGCGGGGGGGGGGGGGAGTTGTTTTTTATTTAGTCGACTTATTGGGCCATCCAACAAAAATGGTTTAGATCCACCATCTCACTAAACCACCGGCAAGCAGGTGATGACCATGGCCGACTAGCGATGGTAAAGAATTGTTGGCGGACCATAGAAAAATTCTGGGCCCAGTAGTGTCTTTTTATTAAGTCTAGTTGAATTTTTGCTTAGGCACTGCTGGTCTATAGTACTGCGTAGTACCTATCCCAATGAGAATTAATATTCCTATTTCTGTTTTAGGCACTAAATAGTTTTTAGTTACCAAGTTAATGCAAGATCTCACATAAGGTCAACCTTCGCTCATCTGTTTACCAAGTGAAATTCATTTTTTATCAATCTTAATATGTAAACCAACACATTGCAAATGGGTTGCCTAACAAATTAAAGCAAGACTACCCTTAAGCCCGTTTGTAATGATCCCTTGTTTAGTCAATTTTTAAATAATTTTTTTAGGAACAAAAAAATTGAACATTTCATACATCAACTTTGATCAATTTTTTGGTAGTTATTTTAGGAACCGAAAGTTGTCCTATTTTTGTAATGTTTAGAACCTATCCTATTTTCCCTTAATTTTTTAGTAACTTTTGACAGATTATAGGGAATTTGTAAAATTAAAATTAAATTTATATTCATTTTTAAAGCTCACTATAATACGTTGACAGTAGATAGAGACCTTATTTTACAGAAGATAAATATTTAGTCTCCAGATTTAATATAACATAGGTAATGTACAAATGTTTACATTTTACAGGTACTAAAAAATTGACAATATTATGGAATGTTACATACAGTTTCATCATTTATGACATTTTTAGGATAGCATTTATCTTTATTGAAGAAAAAAAGTACTAAAAATTTGACTAAATAAGTGATCGTTACAAACCCGGGCTTTAGTAAAATTACTGTAATTAATATTTCTGTCTGCTTCATCACATGGAGAGAGCAATGGCGCGTGCTCTCTCTCCTGCATGGATGCGTACATAAATACTTATTCAAAGAAAGGAGTTAGTAATCAATTAGTAGTACTTTTTAATAAAAAAATTTCAAAATAAGTACACCTAATAATCTACTATTAAAATACTGAAAGTACAAAGGAAATTGACGTTCATTAAAAAACAGAGCGTTAGATTTTTATTTATTCTTATCCAATGCAAAGTGCGTAGTTATGTGAAACAGTGGGTTGTTTATTAAATTACTACCAAGAATGAATTTAAAATTCATGCAGTGTGTAACGGCTTACTGAATAACGAGTAACTACACACACATCTTCACACGTTTATTAATTGTTAAAACATTAGGCATCTGATTGGGCAATTAAATAAGAAAATCAAGTTAACAGTTAGTTTATAAAGTTTATTAAGTCATGCTTATCATCAAACAGTGCAGATTTTTTAAAAAATACTACAACAAAGCTTAAGATACATGCTTAAATGTGAGAGTATTTCTTTCAATGCGCAAAGCGTAAACTTTTCTCTCCAAAATTTGGAAATTTAAACAATTCTTTATCACACTTGTCTAGCTACCATTTCTTTAAAATTAGTATTTCCTTAATTTTACGTCGAAAAGGTTTAAATTTCCAAATATTAAACATTTTCGATTCTTCACAACTCTTCCCTGTAATAATCAAATTCACTTTTACGAGCCAATCAAAAACTGCTCACTAGAGGCTAAACTAAAGTTAGTGCAACCTGCAAATATTTAAATAGTGTATCACAGAATACTATAAAGTACTTCACTAAGTTCACATTCAAATATATTTTTATATGGTCCTTACTTTATGGTTTTTTATCGGAATGACTAAATAACTTTAATTGATGTTACACAGTACAGTTGAAGAGATTACAAAGAACATCATAAAAACACACCATGTGAAAATCGAATGTCTAATGTACAGTCTGTATATTTAGCACTCAAGGCCTTATATTACAATTAACACGAAAAAAACTTCACATCAATAGTTAAGTGGTTCACCTTTTATTAATAATAAAATCAAGTCGCAGCAAAAGTTTCATGAAAAATAGTGCTTTAATTGACTACCACATTCATACAAATTATTTAACACAAACCTAATTGAGCTCAATTTAAAGATTCAATGCAGCTCGATAAGTCTACTTAAAACCATAACATTAAATACTTAAGTTAATAGGAAACCTTAAATATAAGTATATACAGGATGATTCATTAAGAATGACAAGAGTTGATTAGGCAATAATAAAATGGATAGGCGTGACTATCATAAAATTATGTATACTTTAAAATGTCATAATTATGAATTACACTGTATAAAATAACAAAAAATATAATAATAATAATAAAAGCTGCATCGTGCTTATACCTTAAAATATAATACTTATAAAAACCTTGCCACAAGCAACAATTGAAACCCATAAAAAATGAGCAAAACAAATTACAAAAGTGCATCACTACAAAGTATATGGCAACGAAAATGACATAATTAAAATAAAGTGCAACGATAATAAATAAAAAATGTCTTTTTAAGCAAATTAAAATGAAGGCGACATAATGTATTGCACCTTAGTGATAGTAATTTGTCTTCACATAATCTACAGGGGGGCCAAGAAAAGGGGGCAAGGTAGTGGGGGCGTTCTAGTCGTGGTGTTTTTTTACCCCAGGCCCCCTCCGCCGTCATACGTATTCTAACGGCGACCTCGTCCCTCTGCCGCGCTTTTCTAAGGTTCTCTCCACAAATTTTTTTACCTCCGATAACACCCAAACCGACGACGTTAAAGATATTAAAAACACCATGTCTACAAAAAAAGATATTAGGGAAAAATAATCGCGGGTGGTAAACCACACAAACACTTACCCCACCAAGTTAGTGCCTCGGTCTGAAACACCCTTTGAAGTGGCGGCGTGTAGACGACGAGCAGCTGTCCGACGACGGACAACGTAACTGCTAATAGGAACATTTTGTTTGATAGCAAGCCGATGGAGAATACGCTTTTTGTTTGGGAGCGGCACGATAGCGCGTTCCACATGTCGAAAAATACGAAGCAGGTGAATGTCATTGTGGTGTCTCGTGCTGTAATACCTTCGGTACTCATCTGAAATGAGATAAAACAAAAACTCTATCATCCAAGTTCTAATTTTTTATTAGGGCGAAAATCTATTTTTTTTAACCAAATGGGATTTCATCCCAGGTGGCAAGTCCACTATGCGCTTCAAAAGTACCATGCACAACTCGGCTTGTCCACTAGACAATACTGATCAATACAGGAGGTAACATATTTTATTTTATGATGTTAAATTGACATTTTAATAGATTTGAATGCTTTAACCACCAGGGTAGATAAACTGAAACAGATGATTGTGCATTCTAATGGCATCTGCCATTCTTATTTCAAATAGGAAACAAAGCACGAAATAAAATTAAGTTCAGAACATACACAATGCTGTCCTAAGGTTGCTATTTTTGACGTCTAAATTAAATTCTGAATTGTCAGAAACTCTACAATGATTTATATGGCTTCTGCTATGTTTTGTATTATACATGACGATAAAGGGAAACTAACATTTCGTGGAAGTTTTTCACCCAATAGTTAAAATATCCCTCTATCGTCTTACATAATAAATAACTATTATCAACAATACATGCGTACGTAACAATATAAAATCGCGCACTACCTACCTCTTTCTTAAAAACCCACAATGTTCCACCAATTATCACTAATGCTGACAGGAGTACATTTATAATGAGTGCTCTTGTAATAATTGGCTCCTTGACATTTCTAGGCTTTTGCCTGACGACATCCTTTGCTACCGGTTCGACACCCAAGCTCTGAGCTGGAGGGCCGTCCATAATGATATTGATCCATAGAATCTGCAAGTAACTACCTTGTAATGCACTACACATCCGCAGCCTTCACATACCTGCATGGCATTTAATGGATTTGGAATACCGATCAGAGTAGCAAGGGCAATAAGTGACAATGCAGCTATAGACGTAGACAATTGAAACCTAACAAAATTTCGTATATTGTAATAAATTCCCTTGCCTTCTTCAATTGCTGAGCTGTAAAAAAAGAATTAGAATTGACGTAGACGTTCAATAACCAAATACATTATCGTGTGGAAATCATCATCAACTAAAATCATGTCGGCTGCTTCCTTACAGACATCTGTTCCATTGCGACCCATTGCAATTCCAATGTCTGCTTTCTTCAAAGCTACTCCGTCATTAACGCCATCCCCAGTCATACCTACAATATGGCCTGTTCTTTGTAACGATTTGACTATTGCTAATTTATGTTTTGGGGATACTCTATAGAAAACAGTCACATGCGGTATGGCAGCGTCCAGCTGTGGCTCTGTGAATATTTCCAACTGCTCCCCGGATAATATTTGAGAGTGCAAAGTGTCCAAACCAATCATTTGCGCTACAAATGCCAGTCAGTACAACTTAGTGCATTAAGTGATACCAACCAATAGCAACAGCAGTCTCCATAGCGTCCCCAGTAACCATCTTAATCTGCACTCCAGACTGCAGCAAAGTAGTAATTGATTCTCGAACAAAAGGACGAGGAGGATCACAAATACCCACGATACCAAGATAGATTAATTCCTGCAAGGTAGGACCTTTCGCAAGAGCGACAACCCTCAACCCTTTCCGACCGACTTCGTGCGCCTCCGCCATAAACTCCTGCTCCTTTTTGTTGGTAAGCGCCTGAAGCGTTCCGTTGTACGCGTATTTGGTACATTTCGGTAGTATCTTCTCAATTGCGCCCTTAACGAAAAATATATCCTGTTTTGTTTCACTATACTTTGGTACACACTTCACGGCCATCATCTTTTGCTCCGAACTGAAGGGGTACTCCTGCAGCCTGACGAATCGGTCCGATACGTTGTACATTCCGTTTTTCATGGCGGCCGCCAACAAAGCGCCTTCGGTCGGTTGGCCCATTAGCACTTCGTTTGTTATGATTGCGTTGTTACAAACTGCACCTATCTAAGGCAGCAATTAAAATGCTTGTTTGTAATTTAAACGAAATTATGTATGACTCATCGCCTGAAAGTGTTTCGTTTTACAGGTTGTAATTATTGATTATGAAGTACAGTAGGCGCTCAACAGCCTGGTGCACCTAGTCTTACCCTGACCTTGACAGCGAAACTACGCATCTTGTTGGCGCCTGCCTGTGTAGAGTACTTTCCACATAGGAGGTACGGACAAAAGCATCTCCTAATAGATAAACTCTACAGCATAAACAACCAACATGACTATCACATCGGGCTCTGTCTGTTTCTTCGAGGAGGAGATACCTTAATTTGTTGGTTCGCATTTCCAAGTTGCATAATATATTCAATGTTTGTTGCGTATGCTGCAGGATTTACCTATTCGGCGATCATTACTTTTGTCAATGACTGTACATATAGGATATAAAAAATTCTTCATATCCCAAAACCCAAAATGTTGGGTGCCGGATTACCGAGCGCCTACTGTACTAAAAGATTATACTTCTAATTAAAGTTAAGGTACATTTTAGGTGATGAATCAGACACAATTTACTTTCAATTGAGCTATACCTCCAGCAAGTTGTAGACGCTTTCCCGCGCTCTGTCCGGATAATCGCATTTGTGAAGTAGAATTTGACCGTGATCGTTGTAACCGGCCCCCGTTAACTCCGCAAGATAGCCATCGGACGTAATTACGACGGTTACGGACATCTCATTTCGTGTAATAGTGCCCGTTTTATCTGAGCAAATGACGTTAACACAGCCTAGTGTTTCGACGGTGGGCAATTTTTTTACAATCGCGTTACGCTTGGCCATGCGCATTACACCCAGCGCCAGTGTTACCGTTACAACAATTGGTAGACCTGTAAAAATTTGGTTATGTAAGTTCGTTGGTCTATCTTTGATCATAAAAAATGATTATGAATTTCATTTAAAGTAGTTAAAAGATATACACTGTGTCCAAGATAAGGATGAGGATCTCGGAAACTATAGAAGATACGACGATGTTCAAATTAGAGAAAAAATGGGCAATTAAAGAGATATTATTGTGCTTCCGCAGATATGCCAGAAAAACCGAAATTTGCGGATTTCGTAATTTTTTTTATGTTATTTGAACAGGTACAAAAAAATAAAAAATACTTCCTCATTGCCACCTTTGGACCTCTACAACACAGCTTTAAGAGATTTTCAATATAACGTTTTATTTCGGAGAAATCATCAACTTCCTTTTTTTATATGGCTTGTAAAAAAAGTACATACTGTATTAAGTAGCATTTTTTATTACGAATATAGCGATATACGGCACACACACAAAAAACAAAAGTTTTTCAACAGGATGGTGCAACCGCACACAACCCCCGAATCGTATGAGAATACCTATCGAATAAATTTCTTGGAAAATGGAAAATTTGTCCCAAAGGTATTGTGGCAAGATACAGGTGTTGTGCACGGTTGCACCATCCTGTTGAAACTAACACTTTCCAACTTTTGTTTTGTTTGTGCGTGCCGTAAACCGTTGTATTTGTAATAAAAAAAATGCTACTCAATACAGTATCTTTTTTTAGGGCCATATAAAAAAATAAAGTTGATGATGATATCCCCCAAACGAAACGTTGTGAAGTAATCGGCATTTTTGTGGTTTTCTTTAAACAATGATAATAGAATTAACTGATGTTAAGCTAGCAGAAAATGGAATAGTAAAGAAATAATAAACACAGACGTTCATATTGTTTATTATACTGCACCTTAAGCGCCCAGAAAATGCATCGGTATCGGTACATCAGTATGATAATTTTTAATTAGAGATAATTAGACAAAATACCTAGCTTTCCAAAATCCTACTGTTGGTAGCAAATATCTAATTATGCGAATTTAGAGAATATATAATTTTATTTGGATACTGCAATTATTAAGATGTAATTGAAATTTATTTGCATTCATTCAATACACAGGGCGTTCATTTTTTGCATGTTAAAAGTAAAAGCCCTAGTTGAGCCATAATCTTTCATTAATGAGTAATTGCTGAACCATTTGTTGAAAGATAGCATAATTGGTTTTCGAGGCAAAATCAAGGAAGTAAATAAATACTAGTGATAGAACGATATCACTTTTTTTTGCCGATACGATATATCGGCCAATACCGATATTTACGTGCCGATATATCGTATCGTATCGGCAAACAATAGATGGCGTTACTATTTAGACACGGTCAAGCAAAAACCGGGAAAGTCCCGATTTATAATTATTCGGTTGCAAGGAAACGTTTGGCATTGCGTCATCTATTCTATTTATAGATTAAGTATATACTGTATTTAGAACCTGCTATATTAGGTATATTTTTGTTGCTTTTTTTTAACTTTTTTAGTAAAAATGTTAACTTTAGAATAAAACATTTTATTTTCTTTAATAAAGTATTTCATTTATGCACTGAAGAGTTAAAACAGTTAAAAAAATTGTTTGCCGATATATCGGCGCAATTACCTTGCCGATACGATACGATACCGATAATCGGCAATAATTGCCGATATGCCGATATACCGATATCAATATCGATATCGTTCTACCACTAATAAATACCCTCTGGTCTCCTGGGTATGATTGCCACTAAAGCGATTTCAGAACTGACTGGGCATGAGAGTGAGAATCATTCCCTCTGATCTGATACCAACCAATTTCATCATGCCATAGAATTAACCCTTTGAGATCGCTTTGTTCTTGTTTAATTTAGAGACCATGTTTATGATGATTCTCAATCCTAGACCTGCCCTCACTTGACCCGGAAGTCAAGTAAAATTGAATGTTATATTTCCACTCCTTCTCCCCTGCGAGTTCCAAAATGTACGTTTCTATAATCTCTTTCTCTGCAAATGCTTCTTGGGTATGCCTCTTCCAATTTAAAAAAAGATTCTCTAGGCTCTAAGATTCCTAAATTTGGATTCTGAATGTTTGTCAACATAAAAATAATAAATATAAAGTACATTTTGTAAATTTGAAAAAACATCTTTTGTTCATCATACCTTAGCTGTCTCTCTCCTACTCTCTACTGTAATAACTAATTATTGACGTCATTAATGAACATCCGAATTTGCCTAATGTTAATACAAAGCCTGCTAGACCCCCGTTGTTAAAGCGCCATGAATAATAAATTATAATAGATTATTGTTTCTCAGTCATAACGATTAATGCAATTAATTTTTTATACTGTTTACCTGTTTGAAATAAAAAGTACGGATGCCTTCAAAGTAACCTTTTCTAACCTCTAATTTTATTATTTTTTCTCGACCGTTATACCGCACGTGACCTTCAAACGATTTATTACCTTTACAATCAAGAGCAAACGAACCAGAACGTCATTCTAATTTATTATTATTATGGTTTTTCTCAACTTACCTTCGGGTATGGCGGCAACGGCGAGACTGACACCAATGGTGAACATCTCCATCAAAACCTTCCCCTGAAGCCAACCGAGCAGCATGATAAGTCCAATAATTGCGAACGAATACATCGACAGTTGCGTTCCCAAACTATCCATCGATCGTTGAAGAGGCGTTTTGGGCGCTTCCTCTTCCAACATCATTTTGAATACAGTGCCAAATTCGCTATTAGGCCCAGTACTAACAACTATCCCCTAAAAGACGCCAATTACATAAAAACTCTACAGTAACGAAATTTACCTTTCCATTGCCACATCGTACAAGCGTACCCATAAACGCAATATTCGACTTGGACGCGTGAGTGCCATTAGACCGTAATATTGGAGCTGTCTGCTTATGGGCCGGCTCAGTTTCTCCAGTAAAACTACTTTCATCGATCGTCAAATCGACAGATTCGAATAATCGCAGATCAGCTGGCACCCTATCGCCAATATTTAATAGAACAATGTCCCCTGGCACTAACTCTCGAGCTAAAAACGTATCCGGCGTCCCTTCTCTCAAACTACAAACGATAAATAAAACTCTCGTTCTGAACAACTATCGTCGATTACCAATGACACGAGGGTGGTACGAGCTTTGTTAACTCCTGAAGAGATTTTTCCGAGCGGTATTCTTGAACGAAAGCGACAGTTACAACTATAACTATTGCCACAGTAATACTGACAGCGTCATCAAATTGTTTCATACATACAGATACTAAAGCAGAGGCCAAAAGTAAAAGAATGAGGGGGTTTTTAAATTGTTCTAAATATTTTTTCCATAAGGGATCTTCTTCCTTAACCGCAAATTCGTTATATCTGCAAAGATAAAGGGTGTTATCTGGATATGTTTTTTCGGTCACTAATGGTTGTGGTTTTGGTGTGATAACCGTCATCCTATTACATTTATAATTACTGCTTTTAAAAATATCAATAATGGGAGAACAAACAAAAACACGACCCTAATTAATCGTACTTTCCATTGTACTATAATCAGCTATAGTCGATTAATCAAGAGATTACATTACGGTTAATATACTCCAGGGAACTCTATCTTTTATTTTGGCGTGCATTGATCTAATTTTTTTACGCTTCCCATATGTGATGGTTTTGTTCGTCTGTCTGTCCGTCTGTTCCTCATCTAACTTGAGAACGAAAAGAGATAGGGATGTCAAACTTTCGCCAATCGATTTTTACAAGTTCAAGGATCAGTGCTATTGAATATGAGCCGAATGAAAGGTTCCGGTTTTGTTTTGTTCGTCTGTCTGTCCGTCTGTTCCTCATCTAACTTGAGAACGAAAAGAGATAGGGATGTCAAACTTTCGCCAATCGATTTTTACAAGTTCAAGGATCAGTGCTATTGAATATGAGCCGAATGAAAGGTTTCCGAATGCGAGCTGCGTGCAAAAAATTCCCCTACTGAAAATCGTATGTGATTCTTCGTATCTTGTTTACGCCAGTGTCCCATTTTTTAGTAATAGTTGGTGCAATTAAGAGATTTAGATAAAGAGAAACGTACAGGATAACAATTCCATTTTTTTCCAACGGTAAAATTACAATAATTGATTATTATGCATATTAGCCAGGGCTCAGACTGTATTTTTATGAGATCAGTATCTAAATGGGCCTTGAATGTAGACTGGGATCAAAGAGAATCTTTTTTAAAACACGTTTTTATTCTCTTTGATCCCAGTCTACATCGTACAACACGTTTAAAAAATGGAACAATACATCAACCGAATGGGCCTTGAATACTAACAAATCTGATTAAAATGCGTGTTACGATCTGTTTGAAACTTGCACGTATACAATAAACCATAAAAAAGTAACAATCACCAATATCCATGGGAAAATTTAATTAGGAATTAAATAGAAAATTTGACCTTACCGGAACATTAGTTCTGCGGATTTTGAAAATATTTACATTACAACGTAACCAAGTTTGTCGTAGATAATCCAAATTTGAGATTGTATGTGTACTTTCCCATATGTAATATTTGCTGAACATTTTTTTATAATATATTTATCTACACGCTTTAATGGAATAATCAACTCTAAAAGATTTATGAAACCACAGTATGTGGGTAGAGGCGATAAATGATTGTGCAAGTCGAGGTACAAGTTTTAATCATACACAGACAGGCAGACAAACTAGAGACATGGAGAAAAACGTAAAACATATATCTCAAAAATATATGCATCACAATCTTGTATGACTTTTGTATCATTTTGGTGCAACACATATTGCTCAAAATATGTGGGGGGGGGGGGGCACACATCTGTTTAGCAAATTGAATGTAAGTTCGATTTAGGATAACCGATTTCCAAATTATTGGCATTGTGTTTCTTTTGTTTCATCAACTTGGATGAATATAGCAATTTAAATTTGTGGATGTGCCTATTTTAGCCATATCTCTGGTTAGGTTACAGATATCAAAATGTTGTTTTTCACTGATGTTTTCACGGTTTCATCATCTTACTTGATAATATCATACAATAATTATAATCGTTTCATTTTACATTCTCAAGAAAACCTGCAAAATTTATATTATCAATATTAGTCAAACCGCGCCCTCTACCACTCATCACATCAACAGAAACCCTCTTTTAATGTAAAATCTAAGACCAATTATGTGAAAATCGCGAGGAAAATCGGTTAACATAAACCGAAGTTACCTTCCCCCGCCCCTCATATTTTATGAGCTATGAGGCTCTATTTGATTTATTGATGAAATTTGCTTTCTCAACCACAACTACTTAGTAATTGAAGTAATTTGAAGATTTTAAAAACTATTACATTGTAATAAGCTCAAATTCAAAAATTAAAAAAACCAAACCAAACTTTAAAAAAGTGCCATTCACTGGTCATTTACGTATTTAGTGTTTGTGAAAAATATCTTCGCTGAGAGCATTCGAAAACGCTAATCAGGAATCAAGAACTATAAAGAAAGAATTTCTGTATCCTCTTCAAGATTTAGCGCGCTTTACGGTCGTTTCCCAAACTAATTTTTACTCGACGAGGCTATTGATTTGGTAAACAATAGCGGAGTGGAAAATGTTTCTAATTTTTAATTTTTTGGGGAAGTTTTTTCTTATTTGCCTAATCATGGGACCCAATCGGAATTTCAAAAATTAACAAAAATTTTTAACAGCATCGAAAAAATGCCCCTGAAAAATTTCCCAAATGTTTGCTCTATGGGTGAACATCTAGATAAGTTCTTCAAATGTTTCCATTACCTCCAACTTTTCGCCTCTCATTACTCGTAACTCCAAATTTTCAACTGCAACTATCACTTGCGGACACATTATTAAACAGCTCCTAAATAGGAAGTTTAAAATGTTTTGCAACATCCTTCAACTACATAACTACATATTTGGGAAATTATGAAAAAAAAATTCTGATAAGTTTGGAGTATGTTGAAAAAACATTTCTTTATTAGAAACTTTTGGGCAAGTTCAGTGACAATACAAATCGAAAAAAAATGCTCCTGAAAAAATTGCTTCAAAATTCCCCAACATTTTTTAAATTTTGTTGTAAGTAGAGGGGGGGGGGGGGTATTCAGAAACTCCAATTTAATCCAAACACTTAAGTTTCTCAGCATATTTTCCTCGTGAAGAAAAATGCGAAAATATAAAAAGAATATTTCTTTCGAGATTTCTTTATTAAAAACAGGTGTGAAAAATATGTATATGAAACATATTTGATTTATAATATGGTTGTTTTGCAAAAGTCAAATGTTCTTGAAATATGCATTTAGAAAATTGTGGAAAAGTAAAGAAAAAGGGTTATAAATAAGCTCAAATACAACATTTTTTTAAACTAAAAAAAAATTTAACTGTAAATTTGCCCTAGCAACAAAATTGTTCAAAATATTCCAAAATTTTCTATGTACGCTCTTAAAGAATCAGACAACATCGGTGAAGGAATAGCAGAATTTTTGAAAAATTTTTACAATATCAGAAAGTGCCATAAAAATGTGTAATTACTATGGTTACAAGAAACACAAACTTTAAGATTTGTGAACATAGCTCCCAAGCAATACAATTATTGATTGATTTCATTAGGCCGCTCCACATATTTTAAATAGGCTGATTGTGGAAGAATTTCAATAATCCAATACCTCGAATAATTAGCATGAACATTCCAACAGTAAATTAGGCTGTTTATACTAAACCCAATGTTAATGTGAAGGTTGATATTGAATAATATTATGATCACCTTGGACATGTACACAATTCTAATGCATTGTCGACTATTTCACAGCCTACTTACCCTGATAACTGCCTTCGATGTGTAGCTTCTTGCCAGCTCAGTCCTTGCCTGACTTCCACCCTTAACCTCGAAGCCACTTCTTCGGCACCCAAAGCGCTGGCATCGTTTGTACTTAGCCACATAATCCCGTTCTGGGGTTCCTCCTGCAATTTCATCACCAAGGAATAAGTGAGAGGAAAACGTCAAAGTTGACAATTAAAGGAAAAATTCAAATTAAAGATCAATGAATTGCATATCATACAATGCGCCAATTATCGATCGGCGCCCTCAAATACTCTTCGTACGCTAAAAATTGCTTCCAGGAAATATCGAATCGATAATTGAACGAGCTTATGACCGGGTAAACGATTTGAAATTACTTACCGATTCTCCAGTAATGGAAGTCGAAATATTTTCTAAATCGTTACATATCTCTTTCGATAATTTTTCATATTTAGTGTGACTAGGGGGGTTTTTCATAATTTGGAGATGTTAAAAACGTCGGTCCTCTTTTCTTTCCCGATTTACATTACATCATACGTATCAAAACATTTTTAAAGAACGGTCGGTCCGGTCTGACGTGCTTTTTACTTCCAAGACGTACCGAGCACACACTAACATTAACGAGCGAACCTTTCGTACTGATGAGTGAATAATATCGCTCTCTTATTTACCCCCTAATTCGCGCCCTCTATTGAACGTTTATATACACGGTGTAATCTTGGCAAAATTTCAAATTAGGAAAAATTAGAAATATTTACGCACTTACCAGAAAATATCTGTGCGAAAATGCGTTGCCATTTTGGTGTTTTTCTAGCCGCCCGAATTGTTTAATGTACATCACAGTAGTAACCTAAATTAACGCTATAATAATAAAATAAATATAGCAGATAAAATGAAATACGTGTTTCTCTCCAAATGATGGAGAGAAATCGTACAAAAAAAAAACAGTTTGAGGAAATCCAATATGATTAATCTGTGGGATTGTGATAGTGTGATTGGAGGGGATTTATTTTTATTTATTACGATTAAGAAATAATAGTCTTGTCTACATTGGACTTTCGTTTTTCCGCTTTGATGATGTAACGGTGCGTCGTCATTAATTAATAATTTTCAACACTTGGAAGAGCGGAAAATTTTAATAGAATAATCGTCATGAAATGTTATAGTTATCTATTCCAATAATGTAAACTTTACGAAATTCCTTCTACCTATTTAGGGGGGGGGGGGCTACGAGGATCTAAAAAGGCGACCCCCCATATGGAGATTATAATCTATGTCTTAACTTCTAAGACATAACCCTGTGGAAAAAGACCATAAGATATTGTTATCCATAATTGTAAATTTTTTTCTACCTATAGGTATATAAAATTATTAATCTACAAATAATCTTTGATTGTTCTGATTTATTTTTGTAGCCAAATATTTTGGTGGTCTCGAATTATCTTGACGTTCTCTTAGACTTCCTCAACTTCCCCTTAAGTTTTGATCAAATATTGTTGGGTTCGCTTCCTATTCGGGTCAAGCTTTTCTCAATTCCTTCATAATCTGATTTTTACGGAAGCGGCAAATCCATCAGACACTTTCTTAACCCTCCCTTCTCTACGCCCCGTGCTCGGCCCTAACGAGGGAGCCGGATGACTCCCAAACTTTCAAAGACAAAGAATCAGGGACATCGCGGGGTGTGAAAATGACCTTCCTTGAGAAAGGTGAAGGGAACAATTTCCTAACTGCTCTCCACAAATAATAGAAAGTTATAATTTTCTTAGTTTGGGAGTTCTTGTTCCATCAGTTTCAGTATTATAATTCAGGAATTTGGGTGTTGTAAACTAGTAATCATTTTTATAATATATAATTTCAGTGCTTAGATGTCTGGGTTCGTAACACAGCTATGGCAGATCACAACTTAGTTAACTTAGTTTGAAAATGTTGAACATAAAATAAATAATCTTCGTGATGACTTGGGTAAAAGCATTAAATACACTAAAAAGAAATAAACCGGGGTTTCGCTTACATTAAACAATCACATATACACAACCTAAAAATTATAAAACCAACTCGCGCACTAACATATTTACAATTTTTTCATATACAAAAAATGTATAAAAATTTTACAGCGCAGGTCCAGCGTCGTCCTCTATATCGGAGAAGCTTTCAGTTCTTTCTTCGATTCGGTTCATATTTTCGAGAGTAGCGGCGATCATTCTTAAATTATCGACTCCCACTAGCAACTGCCTAAAAATTTCGTTAACATTTTAAAATCGGACCAAAATTCCCGAAAGAACATACCTTAAAGAATTCTCAGCTGTATTTGCCGAGGCTCTTAATTCCTGAGATAATCTTTGGGATTGAGAATCGTTCGATGCTGCCATCGTATTCGGTCGTGAGGTACTCCCTTGCTTATTTCGTAAAGATCCGTTTTCGTCACGTAACCGATTAATCTCGCCCTAATAATTGAAAAATTTGCCTATTTATTGCGCGAAGATTAAAAAAAGCGCTGAGGGGTTATCACTTACTTATAATTATATCACTAATCTAAACAACAAACTATATGAACCTGTTCTTCCACCTAATCCATGAATATTATATCAGGATTGTAAAAAAAAAGATATAAAACTGATATTCTCGGATATTAATAATTGATATTGATGAATTATTCCAAACTGTAGTCTCTGGGAGTTTTTGGACGTGAACATTTTTCTAACAAGCAGTACTATAGACAGCAGGGTTCGCCTGAATAGACCCCACCCACTGGGGTTGGGCCCACTTGAAAAAACCCAAGTGGGTTTTTTTATTACTGGGTTTTTTTCATTTTAAAATAATTAACAAGTTTTTTGACTTGGGCTGGTTTGAAATAAATTTATATGGCAAAAGTATATTTCAAATTATACACGAATCACTTTTAATTTTTAAAATACAAAATTAAAACATAGATACTTCCCGGGATACTTCCATTTGAGTTCGTTTAGTGTTAGTTAACAATTCAAAACAGTTCAAAACTTCTAAGTAATATTACCTATTACCTACTTTTACCCAAAAAAGCCCGAAAAAACGCACTTGGGCCCAGTGGGTTAGGGTTTTTTTTAAAAACTGGGTTTTTTCAAACCCTGATAGACAGTGCCTATTAATGATACTAAGTTGGCATTTACACACATTTCAAGACAGTGGATAACCCCTCGAACTGCACTAACCTTTAATGACCTAATTTCTTGTCTCAATTTTGCTATAATACTTTCCGCTGAGGCTGCCCTTTGCTACAATTAAAACAGATTAAATAGTTGCTCAAAATGGTTATTCAAAACTCACATTACTTCTATCCAAACTCTCTTCGACATGCTCGAGTGCCTTGACGAGATTTTTGGTATACTCCTGCTCCTTATTCCTAGCTGCATCTAACTGAAGCTGTAACTGCTCAACGCGCCTATTTTGTTCGGCCAACTGCTGCCTATAGGACTCTACCTCTACGCGCAACCTATCTATCTCGGATTCGGGACTGTGGTTTATTTGATTGTCGTCACTTCCTTGCGAACGCACAGCGCCATCCGTTAAGAAGTCGGGCAAACTTTTTGACCCGGCCACCTGCAACTCATTATAGTAATTTGCAAGACAAACACTGTAAATTGTAATTCAAACTAAGTTGTGTGTGACTCTTGTGCCTTTATTATGGTTTACATGATATTTAGAATACAAAGATCTTGGTGCAGATGTGATTATTCAAGAAATTGCCAATGTCACTTACAATGAATGAATGCATTATCATGTGCATCTTAGAACGAGTTCCGATAATTATTAATTTTTAAAATATTGGGAGCCCATGTGTCAGAGCATGCCTCTAATCAGAATCTCAGGGTATTCTTTCAAAAACTTTAAGGTAAGTCTTACCTTAAAGTTTTTGAAAGAACACTCTGAGATTTATATTCTAAAAGCTGATAAAAGGTCTGTCACTCTACTCAGAACACAAAAACGTTATACCTTACAGTTAGATTACATATGAAAAAATGCTTTGTCCACATGGACGAGTGTGCCAGTCTTTAGTACAATGTCTTTATTTATACCCATTTTTTGTTTGGTCCATTTTAGAGCCGAGTTTGAATCCCAATAATTCCTCCCGCCTACTGTGATACCCAAAGTACTTCATTATTTAATATGCATAGTCTTGTAGAGGGGTTAACAATTAAGTAAAAATTAACCAAAACCAGTATTTTATGAAATCAACCGACGGATTTTCAAATTCTCTGTTAAATTATCCACTTAAAGTATTAAGATACAACAGAAACATCTTTTAATATGAATTAATAGGCACTACAAGTGATGTATCACAAACAACTTACTCTGAATTGAACTATATACCTCGACCGAAGTAGGACAGCTCCTAGATCCGGCAGGTTGATGATCAGCAATAGGTAAATCTAGAGGAAAACCGACCGACGGTCGCACGGGTAAATCCAAAGGTACATTTTTAACGTGTCTACCTGTACTTCGACTTGATTCCCCGTTTAAATGGCTGCAGTGTCCGTGCGGTACGGCAAAGTCGGGTAAATTGTTTAAATCTAAATTAAAATTATTCGTATCCTCCGAATAGCACTGCTCTACTACTAAATGATCTTGAACAAAGTCCGGCAAAGCCGACGAAAACTCCGGTACGATTCTCATTTGTTTAGCGTTAGATTTGTGTAGGTTAAGATCTGATATTGAAGATATGGGACGCCCATCGCAATACACCTTAGGCCTCGCGCCTTGATTTTGATAGTTATTTACATCGCTACGTAAAAAATGTTTAAAAGAAAATGGGTTGTCCTCTCTCTTTGGAGTTTCATTTACATTCGAGGCTGAAAAACAATAATTAGACTATGTGTTAACAGTGGTATCTCGTCCTGTTACTGCCAGCTCCATTTACATAGCTCGGCGAATGGTTTATTCCTAAATCTAATCGCATCGATTCGGAATCGGAGTGGTCTGAATCTGCTGACTCTTGCAAGTGCCTGCTATGCCGGTCGTTTGGGAAATTATCACCTTCGGCCATAATAAATAATACATCAAGTTAAATAAATATCAAAAATTTGACATGTTTGTCACAAAATATTTTTGTAGTTTTATTGGTCAATGTTTTGGGTGAAGGTAGCCACAACTGCATTCTGTTTTTTTGGTTTTTTTCCTAACATTTTTCAACCAGTGGCGCACTTATAGCGTTAAGTTTCACACCTCTTCTATAAATCGTTTCAGTTTTACTACTGCTCAAACAGTATTCTATTATTACCTCAACTGCTCGTCTTACACAGGCATTAGCGAATATTAGACAGTAGGCACCTTATTTCTATTGTTAGTATTTTACTAAATATAAGGACTTTGGTTCAGTCTGGGTACTTTTTGATATAATTTCCGATCGGATCCACATCCAAGATTGTCTTGAATTGGTCCAGAGGTGTAGACGTCAGACTTTTGGTGGTTGGAGAGTGAGAGTGACAAGTGAAGTACCGGACACCGATTTGATTTAATAGAAACATGATACGAGGGGAGATTTTTATGTAATCTACCTAGATACCTACGAGAGAAAGGGAATTTAAGGCAAAACAAAATTTATTTTTCTACATATGAACCTTCAACGCCTATGCACTTATTCCACCGTTTCTGTAATAAACAGATAACTTCAAAAAAAATTCTTTCGGTAGCTCTTCCAAATAGTCACTAACAGCAACCGTTTTTTCAATTTGAGGAAGAGATATAGTAGTTACAAGGTGCTAAATCCGGACTGTAGGGTGGATGCTTTAACTCCTGGAACCCACATTCATCGATAACTTGTCGAACTTTATGAGCCTTGAGCATCTTGCAGTTGTCGTGCAGCAGTATGCTCTTATGGGCAAAATCGTAATGCCTTTTTGCATGTAATCAAGCAGCAGAATCCCCTCACAATCCCAGAAAACCGTTGCCATCAATTTTTCTGCTGAAGATTGCGTTTTCGCCTTTTTTGGTGGAGGAGACTCACTGAATCAACTCGTTTTGATGGAGGGTCACAGTGAGACACCCGGGTTTCATCGCCGGTGATAATTTTTTGGGCCTTGACCCTTCTTAGTCAAAACTTTTATAACGCTTCTTTTCGATCACCAATTTTTCAACATTCAAACCTCTACCAAAATTACAAAACTCTTTCAATTTGTACGCCACGTGCTCAGAATACTTATAAATGTTGAGGCTATTTGACAATTAAAAATCATTGCTATTCGTCATGGTTTCCTTCTGGCTAGGTAGATTACATAAAAATCACCCCTCGTAGGTACATATGATTTTACTCGTATTGGATTTTAATATTCAATATTTTAAATCGTATGAAATTTCCTTTGCTGGCTTTACAACTGGAAACCTTGAAAATAAGAACAATTCCAAGAATATTATCATTAGTGATACTCCACTTTTGATTTTTTCCTTCGCCCCACGCTGGGTAATCTCTCTGTAAACAGAGTTGATAAGTATTTAAATACTAAATCCCTTATAACCCAAAAAAGGTACCTAAATCGAAAACATATGGAAAGTATTTAGACACTTTAACAAGTAATTAAATAGGCACCTTAAAGGAATTAAAATGTTATATAAAAGTATTTTAATATGTAAAAAGTAATATATGAAGTACCTATTCAAATATAGCTACTTTTCAAAGATCTATAAGGTTAATAAGTTAAATGATCAATGATAAATATTGTTTGTTGTAAGTATAGTATGGGAGATTGTTTTTTAAATTTACTGTAATGCTCTATTAAAATTAAAATCTCTTCACAACAAATTAAATTAAATATCTATATTATAAAAGTACAAAAGATTTATTGGGTACTCAATTTTAATTGATACATAACTCGAAAACAAAGAAAATCGCTTTTCATCGAACGTTTTTGTTAGCTTTTAAACATAAACGTGCGCCAAGTGCTTGTGAAATACATTGATCAGTCTAATCTAGACGCGTAATTTTGGCGTTTATTTCGGTTTAGTTAAATTTTTTTATTTTGTTAACATGTTAACATTAACAATATTCTCCAAACACAGAATTGATCACGTGCAAACGTAGGGAAAATATGCAAATTATTCCATAGAAACTTTTTTGTCTCTTTGTCTCGATTTTTCAAATCATGTGAGTTCACCGCAAACGGATTTAAAATTTCACAAAATTCACCAACGTACGACAAATAATTTAACTTGAGGTAAATGGCTACCAGTAAATTGTGAGAATTGAAGGACTTTGATTGGATAATTTTTCAATTTGAACCAGTCGACTATCTGTATTCTATTGGTCTGCGTGTACAAGAAATGTATCGTATCGTCTGTCTCGACTATTCGCGCATGTAAAAGGTGTCGCCTTAAATACACTTTTCTATTTTGATATTTATAATAATAAAGCCATATTTATTTGTAGATTTGATACACCTCGTTACGGGTATACATATAATCTTTAAATCATATCATGAATTTATAAACCTATAAATTCAATGATACATGAGAGTAGTTCAATGATTGTAACAATTAATTGTTTGTATGAGAAATACACTCCAGTATAAAGAAAGTCACTAGTATAACAAACGTCCGAAAATCGTGATGGTATCGAAAGTGAGGTTATATTGTCGCTATAAAATTAAAAAATAATCAACTCTAAATTACTCACAATTTTAATATGAGTGGTGAAGATCGTATGCCCAAAATAGATCCAAATAAACTTAAAAGTACAGATCTCAATCTTATGAAAATAATTGAACTTCAAAACTTACAACGAGTGAAGAAACTGCAACGGATGCGAAGAAACAATATCATTTCTGGTTGTCTCTTAGGTGCCGGTGTTATTAGTATTTACGCTTACACCATCCTGTCGGTCAAGCAGGAGAGTTTCTTGGACGACTTTGATGAACCAGCGAAAATCATCGAGAAGTAGGAGATATGTCGGCAGCAACACACCTTTTACGTTTACCTCCCTTACCTACAATAAAGGATCTCATTCGTTTGTATAAATTGAGGGCATTGCGTCAGCTGTCTCAAAATTTTCTTTTGGACGAACGTATAACCGATAAAATTGTACGAGCTGCTGGAAGTATAAGGAACCATACAGTTTGCGAAGTTGGACCAGGACCGGGATCGATCACTCGTTCCATAATTCGCAAGGCACCAAGCAAGGTTATCGTCGTTGAGAAGGATCCTCGGTTTTTACCGACGTTGCAGTTGTTAGAGGAAGCTTGTCAAGAACATCTAGAGCTGAAGATTGAACTGGGTGATATTAGAGATTACAACTTTGAAGAGGGCTTATCAGGTATTGCCAAAAGTGATTGGCATGACCACTGTCCGCCGATTAATTTAATTGGCAATCTCCCTTTCAATGTCTCTACAAACTTGATAATCCGCTGGTTAAAATCTGTATCGGAAAGAAACTCTGCATGGGCGTTCGGCAGGACACCAATGACTTTAACCTTTCAAAAGGAAGTAGCCGAGCGTATTATTGCACCCGTGGGTCACAAGCAAAGGTGTCGTTTATCTGTAATGTGCCAATTCTGGTGTGAGGCTGATCACAAGTTTACCATTCCTGGCCGAGCTTTTCTACCTAAACCTGATGTGGATGTCGGTGTCGTCACTTTAATTCCACTCAAAGATCCGTTGATCAAGTTGCCTTTTAAGACGGTAGAAAAGGTGGTCAGGCATGTGTTTAATATGCGGCAAAAATTTTGTTGGCGCGGGGCCGAGTGTTTATTTCCGAAGGAATTGCGTGATGAGTTGGGCCCAAAACTGTTCCATTTGGCCGATGTCAATCATAAACTGCGACCTTTCATGTTAAGTAATGAGGAGTTTGCTCGGATTTGTTATGCCTATAATGCGTTATGTGAAGAACAACCGGAATTGTGTAACTATGACTACAGATCACCTAAAAATGTTGTTGCTGCTGTTGAAATGTAGTGTTTTGTGTTTTTATTAAAGGTCTTTAGTGTTCTTTTGAACTTCACTGATTCAACAATTTTGTCTTATGCATATGAGGCTCACTGAGTGAATAATTGCAAAACAAACACCAAATATCACAAAAAATAATCTAACAAAGCTATTATTAGCAAATAACAATAGAAACATTTGTTTGTAATTCTTTTGTGGTTTTTGTTTCAAGACCTACTTTAATTTCAACAGACACAAGTACTTCAGTGTCTCACTGAATGTGTTGATGCTCTGAGCGGGCCTTGAAACGATTCATATCATAGTTCTACACATTTTATAGCATCTCAAAAATTTTTATCTGGTTAAATTTACTTTGAGGTTGAATGAAAATCAGAAGATAAAACAACTCTAGTAATAGAAGTTACCTAACATCCACTCAGCACAGAGGGAGAGCAGTTTGGAACTAACTAGACTGCTCGGGTTGCTATTCACTTTAGAATTTTGTCCCTTGAATTCAATTAGTAGAAAAGAATATCTGTATTTATAAAATAAGTACAAATCAAACAAATTACAGTACAATACGTTAAAAAAAAATAATTCGAATGAACACAAAAAGCTCAACTACAGTCAAGCATTTATTTCTTCCAAGAGCTTTTGGAAGTTGATGTCTGTCTGAGTTTCTGTATTCGCGACTGTACTTTTGGTTTTTGTGTGGGACATAACGGTCTGACTTTCGACGGATCTGGCTACATCATCGAACACTGTCTGCGTGTGGATAGTATTAAGTATAATATCGTCATAGTCCTTAGGACAGTAGTGCTCCAAGTCATCGTCCAAACAATCCACACACTCCGAATTAGTGTTGTAGTTAAACATGTCGAATATATCCGTTTGGGTTTCCATGTTGCAGTTGAAGTAGTTTGAGGAGTGAAAAACAGACATGTCTTCGTTAAAACAAGTTTGGGAGCTGGAGTTCATGAATTCGAAGTTCAAATCCGATGTGTCAGTGTGGATGGAGTCGTGGGTGGCTGTTGAAATCGAATACAATGATTCCACAGATGTTTGAGTGCAGGAGTTGCTCTTCTGCACCAGTGGGTTGGTGATAAAGTCGTCGTCCAATTCAAATGAAGTATTACAAGATTGCGAATTCAAAGCTGGAGGTTTAGTTTGGGTTTCAATATTTTTGTGCACAATTCCATCTCTGTTTAGGTTGACATCAGAGGTGGACAGTTTCAGTTTTTTAGTTACACAATCGCCGATTGTTTGTGTTTCAGCCGAAGAGTGCGTTCTTCTCATTTCTAAAGTTTGTGACTCTTGAGATGTGCGCTTCACCACTTGCGTTTGCTTAGTCTTTACTGTTGGAGACGAAATATTCTGCTCAGTTTGACTGCTCTTTTCCATGGTTGGATTGGGCAAGGTCGACATAACGATGAGAGATAGGCTTGTGCCGAATTTAGGAACAATGAATACTTCTTTTCTTGATGAATTCTGGTCTAACTGGCCCGAGGACTGTACAGCAGTTGGGTTATAAGCGGTTTTTTCGAGAACCCTATGCTTCTTTCGTCTGCCATGGGTTAGTAGAGATTCATATGATAAATAAGCAACACTACAGTCGCAGCATTTAAATTTAATCCCACAATATTTGGTATGTCGGTTCCTGGATGAAAGTGTTGGAAAACCCTTGGTGCACATTTCACACATGAACTGTTTCTCAGAATGAACCTTCAAATAATGCTGCTTGAGTAGTTTGAGTGATTTGAAGTGTTTTTCTTCATTAAAAACGCATTCATCGTCAGGGCAATGGTACTCTTTTAAACTGGAGTCTTTCATCAACTGTTGCTGATGGATCCTTTCTAGGTGGAAATTTAAATTGGACCGCGATGTAAAAATTTTCGTGCACCCTTCTTCGGTGCATGGTAAGTGACACTCTACTGTACTTAGTTCATCACGTGTAGGAAATACCTTTGTAACAGCACCTTCAGGACTTAGAACTCTAGCCATGCTTAGATTGGGAGCCTGCATATCTGGTAGTGTACAGGAAGATGAATTTTTAATTAAGGGCTCATTTTTCAAGATTTTTTGTTATTAGTCGATTTACTGACTGTTACCTTGTTTATAAATGAATAAACAATACTGTTACTATGCTAAAATAGCACATAACTGCCTACTTGTGGTTACAAATCACAAAAATTTGTATCAACAATCAATAAACAATAAAATGTTGATGTCTGGTATGCGTATAACTAAAGTACATTGCTTAGTAATTAGTATCTAGACTGTGGTATATGTACAGAGTGGTGATAAAATGTTGTACCTTATATGACGATTTATTGAATTTTGAAACGCACACATAGGTATGCATGTCAGTAAGTAATTATATCATACTTAGTCCTTTATTTCAATGATACTAGGCAATTGCTGTTGTTCATTATCAGTATAGTGGTGCAACTGGGGATTACGAAAGCTCAAGATTCAAGAGCATCCCAGAAGCGCATATTTTGAATTTTCTAGCATAAATTGATAGGGTTCATGTGCTGTCTAACAGACAGCTATTTTAGTACTTATGCGTTCTTTACGTCACCCCTGATGAATCAACCCAACAACCCTGCAACTCTGCACGCTTTCATTACGATTTCTTAACGCTTCCCTTTAACAAATCGGCCGCCCCTCCAGAACTGGGTAGTGCTTTGAAAAAAGTGCTTGCCAAAGGACTTCAATTACTTTTAGTGCTTAAAGCTCTGTGCTTCAATTACTTTTCTAATTCAGGAAAAAGTGCTTCAATTACCAAGCACTTTTTAAAAGTGCTTGGACCTTCAAGCCCTATTGAACTGCTTGAAGCACTTTCATACAATTTCGAGCACTTCTAAAGAGCTTCAAGCACTTATCAAGGGCTTCAAGCACTTATAAAGAGCTTCAAGCACTTATAAAGAGCTTCCGGGTCGATCTGAGACAATTTTTTTTTCGGGGCTCAAAAAAGGCAGTCCTTCCTTCCTTTTTTACCAAAAATCGACTACACCAAAATTTTCCGGGAAAACACTTTTTCTTATTAATTTGGGTGCGTAGAATCCAAATCAATTCGTACTTTTTCGATCAGGCTTCTCAATTAAAAGTTATAGACTAGAAACCAATTCCGAAAAAAAATTCAAAGGGTTGTAACTTTTGAACTAGTAGCCCAATCTTGGAACTGTTTGAAGTTATCGATTCTACAGGCCACTTTCTATAAGAAAAATTTTTTTCCGGGTCGATCTGATACGATTTTTTTTCGGGGCTTAAAAAAAGGCAGTGTGTAACCTTCCATTTTTACCAAAAATCGACTACACCAAAATTTCTCGGGAAAACACTTCTTCTTATTAATTTGGGTGCGTAGAATCCAAATCAATTCGTACTTTTTCGATCAGACTTCTCAATCAAAAGTTATATAGACTAGAAACCAATTTCGAAAAAAAATTCAAAGGGCTGTAACTTTTGAACTAGTAGCCCAATCTTGGAACTGTTTGAAATTATGGGTTCTACAGGCCACATTCTATAAGAAAATTTTTTTTCGGGTCGATCTGAGACAATTTTTTTTTCGGGGCTCAAAAAAAGGCAGTGTATAACCTTCCTTTTTTACCAAAAATCGACTACAACAAAATTTCTCGGGAAAACACTTTTTCTTATTAATTTGGGTGCGTAGAATCCAAATCAATTCGTACTTTTTCGATCAGACTTCTCAATTAAAAGTTATAGACTAGAAACCAATTTCGAAAAAAATTCAAAGGGCTGTAACTTTTGAACTAGTAGCCCAATCTTGGAACTGTTTGAAGTTATCGATTCTACAGGCCACATTCTATAAGAAAATATTTTTTCCGGGTCGATCTGAGAAAATTTTTTTTTCGGGGCTCAAAAAAAGGCAGTGTATAGCCTTCCTTTTTTACCAAAAATCGACTACATCAAAATTTCTCGGAAAAACACTTTTTCTTATTAATTTGGGTGCATAGAATCCAAATCAATTTGTACTTTTTCGATCAGCTTCTCAATCAAAAGTTATAGACTAGAAACCCTGGTTTCCAGTAATATGAAAGGTGCTTTATATTGTTTATATTTATATTAATTTATATTGTCAATTACTGTGATTCAAGCACTTTTAATGGCTTCAAGCACTTTAAATGGCTTCAAGCACTTTCCAAGGGCTTGGTGCTTTGTATTTTCAATTACTTTAGAAAGTGCTTGGTAATTCCAAGCTCTTTCATCACATAAAAGTGCTTAGGGCTTGCAAGCACTTTTATCAAAACAAAGTGCTCGGTGCTTAGTGCTTCAAGCTCTTTTCAAGAGGGCTTTACCCAGCTCTGCGCCCCTCTTCCCATTGCACGTTGGCACCATTATGGCATTTTTCACGTTTCTTTCGCGTCTCTTCACGCTTTGTTCGCGTTTATCATTCAAGCTTTCTCTGCATCTTTCTTTCTCGTGACTCGTGAGCCGTGGTCCCGGTGACCGGTCTCTCATGCTTTGTTCGCGCCCCCCAAGTTTGCTTCAAATCACTTTCATGCTTACTAGATACCTACTTGTCGCAGTGGCCGGCGAGTCGTCCGTTGGCGAGTTTTCGCATTGGCTAGTTAACGCGGTGGCGAGTTGTCCATTGGCTAGATGTCGCGTTGGCGAGTTGTCGAGTCTCCCTTAGCGAGTTAACCGTGTCCTCTTTTAAGGTATTCCTGTATTTCGGGGTTCAGTTCCGTTATACGCATACACCATACAGTTTTCTTTCCGTTCCATAATTGTTGGGTTATGTAAGAGCATTGAATAAACATTGGTAAGAGGAATCCTAAAGTTCTAGGAAGTGGCCCATTTTTACCATATTCCTCAATAGATAGGAAAAACACCTGTTTATTACCTGCTGTTATGAATTACTGGCAGATGCAAAGCTGTAGCTGATAGCACAATGAAGAGAACCCTAATCAATCAGACCTACAACTTCATCTGCAGAAGAAAAATTTCTACATGGTCCACTTTAACTTCCACTTTCAATTCTCGCCCAGTTGCCAATTACAAGCCAAACCTAATCAACACAGACCAGGTGCGTACTTCTCGCCTCGTTTTCGTTGTACAACCTCAAACCGTTTGTAGGGATTATTCGACGTACCCGAGCTACACTCGCACAATGGCTTTTTTGTACTTAAAGATCAGTGCATCGAGAAAACCAATGTGCTTATCAGAGAAATTCTTGACAGGAACAGATCTCGTAAGCTCGTTGAGGTCTTCGACGACCTGTCCGACACGTTATGTAAGGTGGCAGATTTAGCAGAATTTATACGTTTAGCCCATCCTTCCTCACTATATACAAACGCAGCAGAAACAGCGAGCTGTGCCGTAAGTGGCATTGTAGAAAAGTACGTTCTCGCGCTGACTGTGTTTGCCTGTAAATCTCCTCTTGTAGATTAAACACGGATCGAAGCTTATACACCGCTTTGCTTAATGTAATTAAAGACGGAGATAAATTTCCGACGAATGATATTGATGATCTCGTAGGACGATTGTTTCTCTTCGATTTTGAGCAAAGCGGAATTCACCTTCCTGAATCGGAAAGGACGAAAGTCGTCGAGTTGAATAATTCTTTGCTGCATTTGGGACAGCACTTCGTCTCTGGTTGTGGGACAGCTAGAACTGTCGATCAGAAAATTTTCCCCCCTGGCACTAGTAACTTGTAAGTAATCCATTGGGAAATGAGCTTGCATTAAATTGTTTGGCTTTGTGAGTTCTTATAGGGATGGTGTGGCCTTTGCTGCTTATACATTCAATTTTGTTGATCTCTAGCATGGGGATACTCTTTTTTTTGTTTCTGTTGTTATTGCTGCTGAAGACAATAAACCAACTTTCCTCTATCTGCACATAAAGTCTCTGGAACCACATTGTTTTTCTCCTTGCCTATATTATTATTACTTTTTTGATAGCATTAACGATAAGGGAGATACCCGAAGTATCGAGAAAGGGATATATTACTGTAATTGTTAGCGCTATCAAAAAAGTAATATACAGTGATATTCATATAGAAGTAGACATAGGGATTTCCTATGTCCACTTTTACATGATAAAAGTCTCCTGAAAGACGCCTAATTTTATGCAACCAAAATAACTTCTTGAAACAAATAAAGATCTGGCTGTCTGCTGTCATATTAATTATTAATTTGAATATTGTTGCTTTAGCTTCACAGAAAATAAATCTACTTCTACATGAATATCACTGTATGTGTCACATGCTCTTTTTGGGTCAAACTTAAAATGATGAAATCAAAATGTGAAATTATTCGGTCGCATAAGAGATGCGGGAGAAAAAAAATGTCTATTTCTGAATGATAGAATATTTTTAATGTTTCATATTTATTTATAGTTATTATTCTGCTATTTTCAAAATAAGTACATATTATATTGTCAATTAAAAAAGTTATCTACTTTTTAAATAGAGGGCACTGTACAGGGTCATTCTTGACGAGCGTCAGTTAGGAAGATATGGTAAACCTTTGAAAATTAAAATAAACTGATGTTCTTTAACGGTTTTGGCACATGATGAATTGAACTAAAATATTTTCAAGATGGCACCACTTCCGGAAATACCGGAAGTAGCCATCAACTTTGTTATTTTAAATAGGGACCCCCTATTTTTTATACATTTTCGGATTCTACGTCGAATTTGGAGTACAACGATACCCCATAGTTGATCCTTTGCTCCAAGGACTTCGTCGATGTTCAAGTTTTTATGTCAAAAATTGAATTTGCAGGGGTCATTTTAAAAATTTATTATTCGAAAACGGTGAGAGATATTGCGAAACAGTTTTCAATGCTTTATTAAGGAAAGATTGAATTTTCTTATGGTATACGAAACCGTCTAAAAAAGTGAGACTACGTCACTTTTTCAAAGCTCTCAACTTTTAAATTTTTAAATATCCATAACCCCATTTTTTTAAAGGGCAGCCCCCATTTTGTTCTTCACCGTTGTTTTCCTTTTTCCCCAGACCTATAATTTGATACAAAATGTGAAAAGCTGCTTCAAACGGTTTCTGAGTAATTCCATGTTTTAGTTACTTCTTGTAGCAAATTGATAAGAAAATTAAGTCGCTTGATGTTATTCTTTTGTTTTTATTATGATAATGTTTAAACGTCAAATTTGCAGGAATAACGGTATGTTTCAAACTACAAAAAAGGAAGCCCGTGGTCGACTCTGAAGAACAAGAAATAACAGCTGTACTAGCGTATTTTGCTGCAAATCCAACTGGAAGAGAAATTGACGTATCAGACACGAGTGCACAAAGAATTCTCAAAAAGCATAAATGGCACCCATATTTGTTTAAAAAAGTGCATTGCCTGGTCTACCAAAGGCTTCCTTTTTTGTATTTTTGCTTGGAACGTAGGTACCGTTATTCCTGCAATTTTGTAGTAATTTGCGAATTGTAGCTAGCCTCTGTGGGTCGTGCCTTGTCAGAGTAATCTTTCGGAAAAAAGATGGCCGCTATTCGATTACATTCACCGTGTATTAATATTAAATTCAAAAAATCTCCATTAGTGTAACCCAAACGAGCCATTATTGACGAAAAGTATACGTTCAAGCAGCAAAAATTTTTTGACGTTTAAACATTATCATAATAAAAACAAAAGAATAACATCAAGCGACTTAATTTTTTTATCAACTTTCCACAAGAAGTAACTAAAACATGGAATTTCTCGGAAACCGTTTGAAGCAGCTTTTGACATTTTGCATCAAATTAAAGGTCTGGGAATTTGAGAGCTTTTAAAAAGTGACGTAGTCTCACTTTTTTAGACTGCTACCATAAGAAAATTCGATCTTTCCTTAATAAATCATTGAAAACTGTTTTGCAATATCTCTCACCGTTTTCGAATAATAAATGTTTAAAATGACCTCTGCAAATTCAATTTTTGACATAAAAACTTGAATATCGACGAAGCCCCTGAAGCAAAGGGTCAACTATGGGGTATCGTTGTACTCCAAATTTGACGTAGAATCCGAAAATGTAGAAAAAATAGGGGGTCCCTATTTAAAATAACAAAGTTGATGGCTACTTCCGGTATTTCCGGAAGTGGCGCCATCTTGAAAATATTTTAGTTCAATTCATCATATGCCAAAACCCTTAAAGAACTTATTAGTTTATTTTCATTTTCAAAGGTTTTCCATATCTTTCTAACTGACGCTCGTCAAGAATGACCCTGTATATTTTTATTAAAAGAACATTACATTCTCTTTTAAAAATCATATCACACCAGGGGTAGTATTCAAAAAAGCTAGTGATTCAACAAAAATACCTCGAAAAATACGAACATTTTTGACTTATTTCATCTTTCTAAATCAACATCAAATTTTTTTTAATTTTTTAATGTTATATTTTTGAACAGAGATTATTATTATTAAAGAAATGAGATTAGGTCCCATTTTGTTTTAACTTTCCCTTGTGTACTTGTAAAGGATAGAAATGGTATAAATCGACGTGAGGCATAACTCTAATTTCGCTCCAACAGCGGACTGGTGGCACATACTGAAATACATATTGTTTTTTCAACTGAAAACAGCAAGATTTTCTTTTATAGATTCGTCAAGGAAGGAGACAACGTCATAGTATCAGGTTTGTATTCAAATGCATCAGATCCGATAGCCAGAGAAATTGCGTATCGCGTATATCTGTACCCGGATCAGCAACAAGACCACCTTCTAACTGAAATATTAAAACATCGCTACGAACTGGCGCAAGTATGCGGTTTCCCCACTTACGCTCATCGCGCTTTGAAAGGTAGCACTATCGAAAATCCGGAAACCGTCCTAGAGTTTCTCGACTGTCTCTCGAACGGGCTGAGGATTCGAGCGGATAAAGATTTCGATATGATGAAGGAAATGAAAATGTGCGAAAACGGCAGGAAAGACTTGCAGGTTTGGGATACGGATTATTTTACGAAATCGGCTAAGAAGGCGTTGTTTAACGTGGAGAGTTCCGAGTGCGCGGCGTATTTCTCTCTAGGCAGTTGTATGGAGGGCCTTAATTTCTTATTTAATCAGCTTTACGGCATCAGTTTTGTGGTTAAGGATATCAGCGCCGGAGAGTGTTGGTCACCCGACGTCTACAAAATAGAAGTTACACATGAAAATGAAGGAGTTTTGGGTTACATTTATTGCGATTTTTATGAGCGCAGCGAGAAGATCTCTCAAAATTGTCATTTTACAATTCGTGGTGGAAAGGTGCTAGACGATGGTTCCTATCAACATCCAGTTGTGGTACTCATGTTGAGTTTACCAACGCCAGCGTGGTCAAGTCCAACTTTATTATCTCCTAGTATGGTGGACGCGCTGTTTCACGAGATGGGCCACGCTATGCATTCGATGTTGGCGCGGACTCACTATCAGCACGTGACCGGGACTCGTTGCAGCACCGATTTGGCAGAAGTACCATCTGTTTTAATGGAATATTTTTGTAATGATCCCCGCGTTTTAAGAACATTTGCGAGGCACTTTCGAACAAAAGATCCTATACCTGAGGATATGTTGCAACGTCTTTGCGCGGCAAAAAATTTATTCATGGCTAGTGAAATGCAAATGCAACTATTCTATTCTGCTGTAGATCAATTTTATCATAGAGAGTATCCGATGGAAGGATCAACCACGGAAGTATTGGCCCAATTGCAGGACAAGTATTTTAGTCTACCTTACATACCAAATACGGCGTGGCAACTACGATTTAGTCACCTGGTCGGATATGGCGCCAAATATTATTCATATTTAGTCTCGCGAGCTTTGGCTTCGTGTATTTGGCAAAGGTACTTTGAAAACGATCCTCTGAACAGAACACAGGGCGATAGATTTAGACACGAATTTTTAGCGTTTGGCGGTAGTAGATCACCACGTAAATTAGTTACAGATTTCCTACTTAAGGAACCGACAAATGACGTTTTAGTGAGTTCTCTTTTAAAAGAAATAGACAATAAGCAACATGAAATTGAAAGTGTGAATAAATCTCAATCTTTTGATTAGAGACCAATTTAAGAATTATGTATTCATAATAATTGTTATGTTTTATAAATAAATGTTTGTTTTCTAGTCTTGGGTCCTCTTTGTCTACAGGGTGTTCATTTTATTTTGTCCACTATTGCTATCTCGAGAACTATAGGAGCTAAAAGGTCGGTTAAATTAGTGAACAATTTCTATTTTACAAGACTTTTGAGTCCGAAAAAAAATTTTTTCAACCAATGGTTCACAAACCGTTGCTATTTTAAATGGAACTGTATTTTTTTTATTATTCGATAGAGAATTTTATTTTGAATTCAGTGATATTGGATAACAATTTTTATGAGATAAATGGATCTTTAGATTTATTTCATTACGAAACAAGTTTAATATGGATTCAGATGTTATATAGAGTGCTGTGATTGAAACAATAGCACTATTTAGGTGGTTTTACAACTGTCAGTTTCATTTATTGAACTATTATTAGGTGATTACTGAATAAGCTCAATTTAATAGAATATTTCCCTCATATGTAATAAATCCCATATGAAGAGTGTAATTATCGCCGAATTACAGCGGTAATTGCATTGTAGAAAGCTAAAGAGCCCTGCGATAATTGCACAGTTCATATCCATGGCAACTCCATTGTAAGTATAGGTATATTTTGATAATCCAGCGCCAATTTATAAGTAATGCCAGTTTGATATATAATGTTTATTCAGGAAATATTTCCCCGAATTACAATTGTTCATCAAAATAAACCTGATCAATTTTGATTCAAGCATGTCAGTAAAAAACTACATTCGGTTAAAACATTCGCCAAAATATGAAAATAAACTTGTGCAGTTTTTAGACAACATGCTTTCAAAAAAATTGGCAATTTTTATGCACTTTTGCAATTACCTACCAAAAGTGCATAATTATACTCAATGAAAAAAAAATTGTTACGAAACTTGCAGACGTCATAATTTCTTCCCCTACATCTTAACTAAAAATATACTACACAACGCAGTGTGGCCGACAGACCTACCATAGGAGGTTAAAAGTGGTCTACAATTTTGATTAAATAATTCTTGGTTACAAACTCAGACATCTAGTTGCACCTAAGAATTCTAAGTTGCATGCTCAGAATTCAGAGTTGCACGGACAATTTGTGGTGATATACCCCTACGGTTAGGCAACACACCTTAAATTGAAAAAAATTGTAATGTGAGAACAAATACGAAACACTGGTATATACCAATCATGATACGTTTTTGACTTCGGCCGTTCTGCGCAGATGCGTTTACACAACAAAGGTTGGCAAAGAAAAGTTGGCGTCGGTGAGGGGTTCCGCTAACTACAGTTCGCCCGTTATAAGTTTGCCGAGCGGTAAGGCTGCGCCTTAAGTCAGGAAAGATAGATAGATGAGGGATAAAAGATGACTGTAAAGTGAAGCAAATTTTAGCTCTGTTTGCCACCTACAGTCCTTTTTCGTAGGATTATAGCAGCAACCGCACCATTTTCAAATTTTAAATAACAAAAAACCAATTTGTATGGTTACAATATTGCCGAAAATGCAAACATTTGCACAGCACAAACAAGAAGTAAAAAATTTGCTGTGGCTAGCACAGATACCACTGGCACACCAGGCGCATGCGCGATTCTGTCTAAGAATTATACCAAATTTGGTTCCAAACGGTTCAGTAGTTTAATCGGAAATATGAGAGCACAGCAACAGACCGACATAATTGAGATTTTGTTTGATTCGGATTCCTGGTGCTTCAAAACGTGTATTTCCGTCTGGGGGGTCATTTTTTACTCATATGCAGTATACCTCCCTTACTAACCTGCGGCTGGTAGAAAGCTTTAGTTTGCCATTAAGGTATGCGAAAAGTTGCTTCAACCCGCAGCATTGTATTTGATAGGGTATTATGGGTCCTACATAGGTACAATCATTTTAACGCGTAAATTTTCTCCGCCACTGGTCTAACTTCTTATAGAGAAGTGTATGCAGCGTCACGTAAAATAGCGCGCTCACTATCCGCCATAAGCCATAAACACTGAGGCAGGGTGACTTAATAAAGTTTTTGTGCTGGTGTTAGATGTCATATAGAATAGAGAAAGTCGTTGCCGAACGATAACCGCAGTGTAACGACATCGTAACGCGTTAGAGAACAGTCCCCTAAATAACGCAAAATATCGTTTTTTACCAAATAACCTGCACGTTAAGTTTGACGTTTCTGATACTTCGCAGGGCAGAATGTTATTCACTAGTTGTATGGTGTTAGAATCGAAAATTTAATGGACGTTCTTCCCTATAACTATTATACGCGTTTCAATTTTGCTACGATTTAAACAAGAGCATTTGTTTTTTGGTTTATGTTAATTTCATTACTTTTTGGCGATAGCCCTTGAACCAAAATTATCTAACATGTACTTAATCGTTATCATTATCAACCAAAGTTTTGAAACTTTGCCGTTATCTACCCAAATAAAAGGCGGCTATTGTTTTCGTTCAATTAGATTTAAAAATATTCCTTGCATATTAAACACCTTATAAGAACAGGCGTGTATATTGATACTTTTGTATAACAAACAACTTGTACAAGATGCGTGCTTTTACATGTAAGTATCGCCTTACCTTGTGACCATAAAGACACTAACGCATTTTATAGTCAATCAAATTTCGAAAAGGCTATATTCGCAAAAACCGGCCATGCCACCTTGTAATTTTACTCCTAAGGGGTACAAGGTAAATTAATAGTCAAGGTATCGCCATGACTTTGCTTTTTAGGGTCCCTCTTATGATAGTTTGATTCGTGTACGAAAGGAGAGATTGTCACCCGCTTTAGTAACATATTACAGCAAGCCTTTCGCAGTACACCAAGGCCATATGCAATGGCTTTTTGATCTTGAAGGCAAGAGATATTTGGATCTGTTCGGCGGTATTTGTACTGTGTCGGTTGGGCATTGTCATCCGTAAAGCTACTTTCCACCGAAAAAACGATTAAACTCACATCCTTCGTTTTAGCGAAATCACTGAAGCGGTCGCGGAGCAAATGAGTATCTTAGGTCACGTCTCGAACGTTTACTTGCATCCAAAGGTGCACAAGTATGCGGAACAGTTGACAGACAAATTTTCAGGAGATTTAAAAGTATGTATCCAGCAAAAGCGCTTTTCCATATAAACAACTTCAAATTTTATTAATAGTATCAAAGGTTGCAAGGTCAACTTAATCAGACGATTAATCTGTTGTTCAGTTTCTTAAAAATCCACTTCGCAGGTGGTGTATTTTGTTAACAGCGGCGCTGAAGCCAACGAATTGGCAATGCTAATGGCAAGAACTTACACACAAAATTTCGAGATTATTTCACTAAGAGGTGCTTACCATGGAATGACCAACCAAACAATGAATCTTACAGCAAGTTCGTTGTACCGTCATCCCGTACCTTCATCCCCAGGGTTTCACTATGTAAATATTTCTGTCCATCAATTCCAAAAAACCATTTCACGCAAATTGTTTAGACAATGACTCCTGATGTATATCGAGGCATTTGGGGTGGAAAGCACTGTCGCGACAGTCCAATTCAGACAAACAGGCACTGCACTTGCTCTTCAAACGAGTGCGAAGCTAGTACAAAGTATTTAGAACAGCTGGAAGAAGTCTACCGTTACAGTATTCCAAAAGGCAAGGCAGCCGCGTTCTTTGCCGAATCAATACAGGGCGTGGGCGGCAGCGTGCAGTATCCCAGAGGATATCTGAAGGGTGCATATAATATGATCAAAAAGTGTGGCGGAGTGTTTGTGGCTGACGAGGTGAGAACAAATAAGGGCGACTTTGCAACTTACTAACGCCATGACAAGGTACAAACGGGATTTGGTAGAACCGGAGAGCACTACTGGGGCTTTGAAATGCACGACATCGTACCAGATATCGTGACAATGGCGAAGGGTATCGGTAATGGTTTTCCTCTGGCGGCTGTTGTCACCACCCCCCAAATTGCACAATCGCTAACAAAGGCCCAGCATTTCAATACTTTCGGAGGAAATCCGCTCGCGTCAGTCGCTGGTATGAAGGTTCTCGAGGTAGGTACCGTTGGTAAATACCTAGTCTCTTCATTAATGGAGAATGTTGAAGATTATACAACGAGATAAACTGCAAGAAAATTCAAAAAGGGTCGGAACGCATCTGTTATTGGAGCTGGACAAATTGCGACAAGAGTTTCCAGTAATAGGCGATGTAAGAGGTGTGGGGTTAATGATTGGGATAGAAATGGTAGCAGGTGACGGGAGCAAAACGCCCTTAGAACCCGCGAAAGTAATGAAATATTGGGAGAGATGCCTCGAGCTAGGCATAGTGATTGGACGAGGAGGGTATTTTGGACACGTACGTAGTCCATTTACATAAAAGCGAAAGCAGTAAACCCGTTTATTAATAGGTATTTCGAATTAAGCCGCCAATGTGCATTACAAAAGAGGATGCCGATTTCACAGTTGCAGTTGTGAAGACAGCTCTTAGAGAAATGTTTTCAAATAAATAAATTTGCAACAACTTCTGGTTTTTAAACGTTTATAGAACTCGAGGGATGGTATTGGGAGATAAAAGCTTTTGGGAGATTCTGGTTTTGTATTCATGCTTTTATTAAAGCAGGTGATTTAGTGTTTGTTTTTATGCTTTCGGTCGAACATTTATACCCGTGTAGGGCCGGGTCGAGAAAGAATATTCCTATCGTAGATGGCACTGCGTGTCGTAAGAGGCGACCAAACAGCTGCAGGTCGCGTCTTCAAAAATGTGCGTATTTCCACAATCCTTGGTCTAGGAACTGCCTTTGTCATTATACACTCTGACGCTCATTGACCGCTTTACAGCATGGACGGAGCTTAGGTCCAAAAGATTGCGATAACACCTCGATCATTTGATAGTAATTCCAGTTTGAATGCTAATATTTACTTGATTTGTCGATATTTTAAATACTTGTTCGTAATTGGTTTGTCGAATCTCGTTGTCGATGTCTGATTCGATTCCTGGTTTATTATTTGGAACTGCATGTGCACGAAATAGACAAAGGGGCCTCGTACTTCAATATTTCCATTTGACAAAAACGCATAGGTACTCAACCCCTAAAACTTGCTTGAAGATTCATCGCGTTTGCTTGCTGACTTGTGTCTATAGCTATACTGGTAAATAATGCACCAAGTACTCATACATAATTTAATGCAAAAAGTATAATTTCCTATAGAATTACAGTCTCATCTCACTTATTCCCTATCAGTCTGCAATTAAACTAAGCGCATTCTGCTTCATTTTGCAAACACCATAGAGGCGCCAGTGCTTCCGGTTCAATACCTCTTGCAACCAATCTCTCGCGATGTCTATAAAATCTCGGCTCTGCCGAGGCCGTCCCACTATCAGGATTTGACCAAAGCCGTTCAGCGGCCGCTGCTGCCCTTGGCCAGATTCGATTGTCTATACTGTGCTGGTCCACTAACTCGCCCCACATGCACACCTAGATAGATGACACTGCACATTCGTGTAAAATAAGAGGATCAGACTTACTTCGCCTCCTAGAACATTTTCATGTTTCGGCAAGCGGTTTTGGTAAACCTTACGCCAGCCGTGGTATTGCGTTCCGCCCCAGAAACCGTGGTCTAAGTACCAAGCGTCCTTGGTCGACACTACTATTTTGTACCCCAAGTTGAGAAGTTCGTCGTTCAGCATATCGATCGATGGTACCCAAGTTTGAATGACGTACCTACTCTTCGGCAAATGTCGCGTAATAATATTCGGCTCCGTTAGTGCGCTCGACCACACCATAATCGGCGTACTTTTATGACCAATCACGGCGTCGTAAGATTTCAAAGCGTCCGCCTGGTACTCGCTCCACAGCTGGAGAAAGTCTTCGGTGGTTCGATTTCGGCCGTATTGAGTTAGGTAGTTGACAATTTCGTCGGTGCTATTCCAGCAGCCCAAGTGGACCTGCAAAGGACAATTCATGTAGGATGTACTTTCTACAATGTTTGCTAAGGGCAAGGGTGTGATTATTACTACAATTTTGAATGTGCAACTGCACTAATTTCCAAACGGTTGATAATAATGTACAGCGTGTTCCATTTTCCACGCTTTTATTCAAAATTTGAAAATATTCGCTAGCTTGAAGCTTATTAGTTAAAAGATGTAAGCACAGACAGTTTATTAAACAAAATTCGTTTGTATGTTGAATAATATGCCGTTTTCAAGATAAGTATACGAGCTCTGCTAAAAAAGTTATTTCCTAAACGAATTTTTTTAATAGAACACACGTATATTATAATCGATATAATAAATTCTTTTTTTAACAATACAATACGATTTTAAATTTAATGTTCCAAGGACATGTAATATCAGAAATTATAACACGTTTCCTTGGCCAAATCGAACTCTCATAAGGACACGCCACTTTTGTAGTCTGAATTTAATTTAATTAATATTAACTTATATATAAGAGAAGTTCAGTTATCTAGACCGTTTTGGGCTTTAGCCTGTGGTCTAATTGTATCGCTCTTCCCTCTCTTCTGAAGGACGCCTAATTTTATGCAACCAAAATAACTTTTAAAACAAATGGAGATTTTGCTGTCATATTAATTAAGTGGAATTTTATTGTTTTGGCTTCCGTATTTTTATTTTCGTTCGTGTGCTATGTATTAAATTGAAGGAATAGTTGGTATTGTCAATTGGTTTAGTACCGGTAATAGTTTAAGGAGCGTAAGAGTTATTTTCTGTGTTTATCACTTTAAAATTAATAGTTATTTAAATGCGTTCCACATAAAACACCTCAATTTTAACGGAGGATATGAAACCGAATGCTTTAATTTTTGTGGAAGATAATCCCATAAGAAACTTAAGGGAAATAGCGACCGAATTTAATATCTCGCCATCATATCCTAAAAGCATACATACCATTCACTGTCGTTTTTATTAAAATCTAGAATGACAATGCAAAATGCGTGCGCATAAAATTAGGCGTCTTTCAGAAGGATTTTTGTCATAGCACTGTATATCTCCCCAATGGATAGTCCTAGACAAAAACTTTCTATGCTTTGTATGAAATTCAATGAGCTTTCATTTTGTCAATATAAGTGGTTATGAAAAAGTTGATAGTTTTCGAGATATTGAGGAAAAACCGAAAAAAAGGCGCTAAAATCTAAATGGCGGCAGTTTTTTAAATTTTTGTTTGGCATTTGACATAAACAACTCCAAAATAGGTAAGATCACATTGCATCCTTGCAAAAGGGAGTAGATAATTGGCGAAAAGAAGGGGGAAACTTGATAAAATTGATTCTGACTACACTCACCTCGTCTCCACCCATATGAAAAACTCCACTATCAGCAAACAGTTCGTGAAGATCTTGGTATATATTCGACAGTACGGTATATAAATTCCGATTGACTGGGTTTAGTTGTCCACAGGGCGGTTGTATGCAGTAATACCTCCACGGCATCTTGTTAACGCATACTGCTAAGTCACCCAAACCGGCATTGGCACCCCATTGCCACCCATTACCGGCATGCGAAGGTGCGTCCATTTCGAGTATAATTCGTACACCACGCAATTTGGCGTACCGTACCAAATGGCGAATGTCATTCGGTCGGTACACTTTTTCAGGTGAATAGGCGCCGTATCTTTAACACTTTTACATTTAAAAAATCATCTTCGCATCACCTCATCAACCTTACCTCGCCATTTGGGGTGTACGCGGTAAGTCCAGCGGAAAGCTTTGGCTATCGGTGGCATGCCAGTGCAACACGTTTAATTTAGACGCGGCCATTCCATCGATTTGCCTTTGCATCGCCTCAACGGGAAGGTAATTTCGTGCGGTATCCAGCAGTAAACCACGATGAGGGAAAGCGGGCTCATCGTAAATTCTGGCGGTGGTAATAATGACTAGACCACGTTGCGCCGTTTGAAGCTTGCGGTAAATTGGGTACGAGGCGATTAGTTGGGATAGCGTCTCTAGTCCGTGTCTTACGCCAAAAACTGTAGCCGCTAATATTTCCACGACGAGTTGTGTACCTGAGAGGGGTTTCAGTTTCAGTGAGTCCACACAAGTGGTTACCTTTAGTTCTGATTTCTAAATGGTAAGACTCGTTCGTATGCCAATTTTGGGATAAACTCGACGAGTTGGCGGATAAGAAGACCAGCACGTCCGTGTCTCCAATTGCAGCACAATCCGGACCGCATTCGGCCAAGACATTTTCGCGAAAAATCTTTACGTTGTCCAGTAGAAATTCTCTAGTCTTCTCCGGCGCGTTGGATATTTGAAAACGGATCGCACTATAAAAGTCGTCGATTCTAGTCGCAACTACAACCTGGTTAACTTACTTCGGATGGAAAGGTTGAAGGTGGGGTGTTATAGAAGCGTATTTCGGTTTGGGCCATAAGGCCCCCAGTTTTCCGCAAGTCAACCGACATACCGCCAATGAATTATACTGGAAGGTATCGATGAGTTCCACTTTTTTTCCAAGCGCGACTGGTTCGGATTTTCTGCGGCATTTTTCTGAACGTGTATCACACGTCCACATCCAGCGCCATCTAAAAATAGAAACAATTAAAACGCCATTTCAATTAATTACACTTACCCATCCTCGTTGAATGAGGAACTTGTTGATTTATCAATAAAGATGGATAGTGTAATTACTAGAGTGAGCATCCGCATGATGGTGACGGGCGTCTATTATGCCTGTAACAGAAAAAGGGTACCTGAGTATACGAGCAATGTTGTTGGATAAATGAGTAAATTAATTTTAGTTATGTGCGATGAAATTATACAGATGGTAACATAGAGAGACGTAGACACATGATGTATCTATTTTCCTCCTTGTTTTCTTACGTTTTAGGTCATAGTGCAATGACACATTATTACTACCCTACATGAGGTGCGATTCTATGTACAGAATCAGCAGGACGGAATCAACATTACGAATGTAGCCAGATGTCATCATTTTTATCGTAGAAAACTATTAGGTGTATGCTAAGGTGTGATTGTGGCATGGAGCTGGAAAAGATTTGCTTGTTTCAATGTGAGGAATTGCTTTCCGATCTTCCTTGGCTCTGTATGTTATTTTGTCATTTTACTTTTGCTTTCTAGTCCAGTGAATAGAGACAAAAAAGAGGGGTTACCTTACAAACGGTCCGCTATGTCGTCTAAGATGGTTAGTAAGTTTTTAAAAAGCAAAATGCACAATTTCTCCTCGGGATTTAATTGTTCTTGAATCGATCTGAGATTCACCCTTGCTGCGACTTTTCAATTCATCGAGTAAAAATTGACATTCTTCAGTATTCTCAAAGAGGAGAGTCTTCTTTTCCTTTATTTCCAAAAAATCAGCAATATTTCTTTCCCATAGAGTCCCTTGACCCTTGAAATGAAAACATTTTTAACTTCTTCCAGATCCTTATTGCAGATGAAGCATATAATCTGACATCTTTGCTTGGTGATGCCATTATTAATGTTGACAAATACTATTACAGTGCTTCAGGTGCGTTGTTTTAACTGGACGCCTCTCATTTCATCTTCTATTGTTTTTGCAAGATATAAATAACAAAGATATTAGTCTATTTTTATTTTACTACATACATTTTGAAATGTACCTACCCGTAAAACTATAAAAGAAAGAAACGCTTTAAGTTGCGAATATCACAAAAACCTGAAACATTAATTGAAGTAGTAGTTATCCATTTTTATCACCCGCATGTAAGTAAGGGAAATAAAAAAGAACTTCCCACTTTTTTCACGGAAATACACGTGTTGAAGCACCAGGAATCCGAATCAAACAAAATTTCGATGATGTCGATCGGTCTGTCGGTCGGTCAGTCTGTACTCTCATTTCCGACTAAACGGTTGAAACGATTAAAACCAATTTTTGTACCTACACGTATTCTTAGACATAAAATTTGGTACACATTCTCAACCCTGTATATTATACAGGTTGTATCAAATTTCGTGTATAGAGATCTCGCTTATTAGCATGGATAGAGAGTTGGTTAAATGATCCTCAAGTTATGCCTACATAACATCAAAATACAAAATTTACACCCTCTCTAAAGTTTCCTTTATAAGGCGAAAAATAATATAATTGACGTTTTTCATTCTTGGCTCTAAATCGTTTACTCCCCTAAACAAACTATAGCGCTGGATAGCCGAACCTACAAGTTAATGTGTTACATAAAAAGTCAAATATTTTTCAAGTACCTACCTACTTGCCAAATCTGCAATTAAAAAAATTAAAATAAAAAGTAAGTTTAAAGAATGGAATACAGCACGCCCCTGGTGACCAAAAATATTTTAGCAACATGGCGATTGTATTCAATTCGAAGACTTTTTTCGGTGTCTTTTATGGTAAAGAAATTATAACCCGAGGTGGTCTTCGATGCTAGACCCTATATAAAAAAATATATTGCGCATGCCCAAATTTCACTTTTTTATTCGTGGATCAATTTTTCTGAATTTTTAACAGAAGATGCTTCTTATGAAAGAAAATTATGTTACAAAATGAATGCGCTATTGTGGCCAGTTTGTGCGCACGTCCGTCCGTCTATCCGTTTCTATACGGCTGTGTCGCTCCAATAGAGCTACTTTTTATGCTCTTTGGTTCGTTATGGTGTCAAAGTTTGCATCAAAGAAGGAATCTTTTCTGTGTCTCTTACAAAGACAGCTATAGCAAAAAATCTCTTTTTTCCCTGCTTAAAATTTTACACTTTTGCCGTTTATTATCCTTATAATTGTTATACATTTGTTTCATTTTGACTAGCCGAAAGTTTAACATGAAAATTCTATCCACTTTAGCGATTATTTGGGATCAAAGAAACCCAAAATTTGATTGAGGAAACGGTACAATGCATTGATAGAGCTCTGTTGAAAACCACGGTTACACCGTTGGCTCATTATTTATTATGTACCTACACTTTTTGAAAAAATAGGTTACGCGTCCACAGACCTACAATTGTTTATTTGTGACCCAACTCTCCTAAAATTTCAACGGAAGATACTCTTATAAAAGCATTACCTATATGTAATTTTAAAGAAAATATGAGTGTTTTATACGATTTTTCCGATTCTACAGGTTATTCCCTTATTCCATTACTTATTTTGAATCATTTTGGTTCTTGACTGCATTCAGGATTAGAAGGTAGTAGGTACTTATTTGGCGCTGTGTTTGGAGAAAAGCACACAAGAAGAATACAAAATGGCACTTAATTTGAAAAAATAACATGCAATTTGCAACTACCATTATGTCAAATTAAAAATGTGACTTTTTGGTTAATTAGATTAGAGCACTGTAAAGAGCAATAGATTTTTTAGGGGAATCTTTCGAAAGAAAAAATTCCTCATATGTGATGGTTTTGTCCGTCTGTTCCTCGTTTAGCTCGAGAACTAAAAGAGACAGGGAAGTCAAACCTTCGCCAATCGATTTATACGAGTTCAAGGATCAGTGCTATTAAATTAAAAGTCGTATTCCTCAATACGAGCTGAGTGGCAAACAAGTTCCCCGTATCTTGATTCATACAACATATTAGGTATACAATATTTTATAGCAAAATCACTCCGAGATTGCATCGTCTGACTCTTCAGTAGTGGAACTATCTGAATCCAAATTGATTATGTTCTCAATCATTCATCATTCATGCTATTCCCTGCAGATCCAATTTCCTCCTTTCTTGCTCCATCGTGAGTTTTGTCCAATTTTGCCATTGTTCATTCCTTATAGTGTCGACACCTGCTAAAAGTTTCTTCACATCACCCATTTTGTATTGCACTTGCACCCAAATTGACTTTATGGGGAATTGCAATGGTATACAAATAGTTCGCCTACTATTTTGTATTGAACGAAAGCATAGGGCTAATAGGAGTCCACGGTATGGTGTAAGAATACAGCGGCGCATGTAGACGTCAAGAATTAAGAAATAAGCAAATAAGTCATATCAAAACTAAACACGCTGTGAGACTCGTGGCTTTGCCAAACACAAACAATACTAATCCTAGGATTTTAAGTTTACTTACAGTTTTATCTGTAATGTTTTTTAGCTTCCTAGCATGTGCTAGGTAGCTATAGCGATAGCCGTTTTTTGAACATTTCAAAATTTCATCAAATGTCGACGTTTTAGACCATTTTAAGCAACTTTTAAAGAATAAATTTTTCCCGTCTGTAAGTGCGTACATATGTTGGCAATTTTTGGTTTCAGCTAGGAAGCTATTCTGTCAAGAATTTGACACCTGGTTTATTTCAGCGAAGACCAATACCAAACGATTTCTTTGAATTTTCATCAAATTGGCAGTTGATTGATAATTGTTGTAAAGCTGTCAGAAAATGTTGTAGTGATGCTCCTTGATACATCAGTATGGTTTGATTGAAACGAAAATTTTCTGCTGATCTCTTTGACTAGTTCCTGAGAGTTTGCGTTATTTGCTAGGCTAGGACTGAGTCATTAAAAGATTGTTTTTATCCTTTACCTATTTTATGAAACAAGATTAGTGACTCGCGGTACGAATAATACCTAAGTAAAAAGGTTTTCGCCCTGTAACGTTAGCGCATTTTCCATGCATTTAGCAGTACTTTACAAAATGCTATGGCTATTATTTTCTCTACTAAAAGCATCTATGGTTAAAATATCAAACAAATATCTCAATTAATAATCATGTTAGCATTTCGTAATCTACTCGTTCGCGCATCTTATTTTTGCAATATGCGATATGTTTGCCTTTACTAGAAGCATCTGTGGTTGAACTTTCAAACTACAAGCATATATATTATAAAGAAGCATCTGTGATTAACATTATTCAAAAAGATATCTCGATAAATGACAGTTGATATTGCGCATCCTGCGTATGCGCACAATAATCTGATGTTTACAATATGCGATACGTCTCCTTTACTAAAAGCATCTTTGTTTAAAATTTCAAAGAAAAATCTCCATAAATAATAAAGTTAACATTGCGCAGTTTGATTTTTACTATAGGTATGCGATATGTTTACCTTGTCCACAAGTATCTGTGGTTAAAATTTCAACAAAATATATTAATAAATAATCGCATGCGTACATTCTTAAAAAAAAAACAATCGCATGCGTACATTCTAATTAAAAAACAATCGCATTTTTGAGATACAAAAAAATGTGAGTTTGATATGGTACACTCTGTATATTATTACATCAGATGACAGCTTAATAAATTATCTACAAAAGTTGAACCATAGCCTAAATGCTTCAGATAACAAGATATTTATAGATTATAGATAAAATGATAAAAGTACATAATAGTGTATCGAATATTCCAGAAATCCCGATAGACATCGAGATATTTATTATATACACGTATTAAAAAAATGCATACCCAACTTTCTTATTTATGGGCAGGTTTTCATGAAATTGTAACGAACGGTGCTTTTAAAAAAATAAATTAAACGCATATAAAAAAAATTGATTGTGGTTGTGAAACCCCTTCATTTTTTATATTGAAAAAATTTGTAGTTATTTCAATCATAAAATAGTATACAGGATGACAGTTTGAAAACTTACCACCCCCCATATCTTAGTAAATAAATGAGATATTTAAAAAAATCAAAATCCGTTTCGGTAATTTGGATGGGGAATCACAATGACATAGTTGGCGACGCACCCCCTCCAACCCCCTGCGCCCCAGCCACCCCAACTTTTAAATCTTAAATAGTGACCCCCCATGTGTGATACGTCGTTGGAAAGCTCTGAAAAAATGCTTTCCAACCATACCAAATATCATTACATGTAGGTTAGTAGGTAATTATCGTGCAAATCAAAAAATAAACTAATAAGATACATTTGAAATCTGTCGTATTTAAAACGCAACCGGCGAACATAGACGAACTAAGACAGAGAATAGTTCAAGAATGTCGAAATATTGCAAAACCAACATTGGAAAGGTTCGACAAGAGTTTGAGAATAGATTATAATTGGCGATCAAAAATGAGTTGCTGTCGAGTCGGCTTTGGAAGTTCAAGTTAAATAAATTTTCCATGTTTATTTTTTGATTTGCACGATAATTACTAACCTAAATGTAATGCTATTTGGTATGGTTGGAAAGCATTTTTTCAGAGCTTTCCAACGACGTATCACACATGTGGGGTCACTATTTAAGATTTAAAGTTGGGGTGGCTGGGGCGCAGGAGGTGTGAGGGGGTGCGTCGCCAACTATGTCATTGTGATTCCCCCTCCGAATTACCGAAACGGATTTTGATTTTTTTAAATATCTCGTTTATTTACTAAAATACGGGGGGTGGTAAGTTTTCAAATTGTCACCCTGTATATTTCTATAAGTTAACAACGCACTCCTATGACATCTCCTTTCCCTAGCAAATCGCTCACCTTTGTTTAGTTTTCAAAGTGACTACCAGAGACGCAATTAAGGTCTTTCCAATTTGGGACCTCTGAGAGAGGCAGATGATCTAGACGACACTAGAAAATCGCCGTATGGGATTTTACATGGAGTTGAGTGTGGATCGGCCCTATTAAGTTACTAACTTTTCCTCATGAACTCTTTCTGATCCACTCTTCCATGTGCACTTTTCCTGATGTCTTCCTAACGAACACTTCCTGTTGAACTCTTCTTAATGAACTCTTTTTATGATCTCTGTCTGATGAGGAGCTCTTCCTGATCAGCTCTTCCTGATGAACTCGTCCTGATGAACTTTTCCTGATGAACTCTTCCTCATGAACCTCTTCCATTTGCACCCTTTCTGCTGAACTCTCCCTGATGAACTCTTCCTGATAAACTTCCTGATATTCTTTTCTTGATGAACTCGTCTTGCTGAACTCTCCCTGATTGACTCCTTATAATGATGAATTCTTCCTGGTGAACTCTTCCTAATGTACTCTTCCTGATGAACTCTTCCAGGTGCATTCTTCCTGATTACCTGTTTCTGATGA